TGTCATGAGAAAGATATTTGGCTATAGGGCCATCGCAGATTTGTCCTTTGAAAAAAAAATATGGGGTAGAACAACAAGCAATGGCAGCCATTTTGAAAATTTTGAAAATTGCTTGTTATTCTACCCCGACACAAATTACCCCAAATATTTCCCCCTATCTGCCCCACCATCCATTGAATAGCCATTCCGAGTCGCTTGAATATGATTTGGCGGACACTGTGACCAGCTCGAGCAAACTTGCCATGTTTTGTTTAATTGTACTTCTAAAAATGCTTTTTTTTCTAATCAAACTATAAAGTCAATCGTCTGTTGCATAATTTTTTGTGGTTTCCGGAAAACAAAAGATTCCACGCCTTTTTATGCCAATTCAAACGAATGCAATTTGCCTGGAATTAAAATGTACATGTAAAAGTGCATGGCAAAAAAGAATTAATGAGAACTTAAAAAAAAACCCACTTTTTTTTTTACAATCAAATGCACGTCTGATAATTTGCATAATCATTACAATCCATGACAACCGATTATTTGTCAAAAAAATTGATTCGTAGACTATGTGACTCCTTTCTACATACATTTACATATTGAACAAAATTACTGGACCCTTTCCTTTTTAGCAGTAAATTCCATTTGTGGCAGATTTCCTTTCATAAATTGCTTTCTTAAAAAGCTGCACATTTAAGAAAACTTTATAAGGAGTCCAGAACTTGTTAGAGCAATCACTCACAGCTCAAACTGAATCTAAAAAGCACCTGTGAATGTCATCACTAAGTTCACATTACAATACATGTACGTAGTAGGGGTGTGCATTTCCGGTTAGTACAGGAACCGGGTACCCAATTGAAAAAAAAACGGGTACCCGTTAAAGAAACCCAACGCCGAACATGCCAACATTCAAATCTCGGAAGTTACTGTTGAGATTGTTTCCAAAGGTCCGCACGATAATACAACCGCATCGGTGCATCAATACAAGATACAAGTGCGTACAGTGAGATATGGCTTTACGGAGTAATCTGCAGCTTTCGCAAGCATCTTAATATGAAATATGTTTTGTTTTCTCCATGCGGCCTGGTTTATATTTTGAAAATTCCCCACAAATGACTTCCAATCCTTTTTTTTTTGTCTGAGAAGTAACTACCGGTAAGTAATTTGTAAAGTTGGTTACGGGTACCCGATCCCATAATCTGGAACCGGTTCCTGACATTAACGGTCCGGTACTTGGGTACCCGGTTCCGATGCACAGCCCTAGTACGTGGATCGTCTGCACTTCGGCCAGATCTCTGAGGTGTGTGCTGTTGTTCAACATGCATATTCATGAATCGACATCATGTTTATTCATTGTGAATGAATTAACATAAAACACGCCTCCGAGATGTCTGCTGAATGCGATCAATCCATTGGTAGTGCTGTTTTCAGATGCTCAATAGCATTCACAATTTACAATAAAAAATAAAAATAAATACAATAAAATTAAAAATGAAATTCTCAACTAAAAAATTAAAATAAAACAATAAGCCATTACACACAAGGTTTAAAACAAAACTACATTTTTTGATCCGGCTTAAATATGCATCACTATTAAAAAGTAAACACTTTTCTGAATAAAATACTGAATTCATCATAGGTAATATTGTTTGACACACACAAATTGTTTCTGGCTAAATTACATGCAAAACCCACCACAGAATTGAGGTACTTTGAACCAGTACTTTCCTCAATGACACAAATGCTGAGTCATTATTTAAGGGCAAGGATGTGAACTTGCTTCACTGAATTATTAAAAAAAAACACAAAAAAAAAACAATTTTCGAAATTCACAATTCTGAATAAATTTGCATAAATTAAATAAAAAACTGGGAAACTATATACTGTATTTGTGCTAACTGCCTAAAGATAGAACCCTTTTCAACCCAATTTTACTATCCAATTCCTTTACTAAGATTTAGTCTTCGGAAAGTCGTTGCCATGTTTGCACTTTCAAAATACAGTACAGCCTGATATTCAGTGAAATTCCACGCTTGGAATCGTGTGTGTTCCAATTAGTTTCGGTCTGTACTGTATTTGGCTTTCATCACAGTCAAACAGACACTATAAAGTTTACACAAAAACCCCAACTTTGAACTGTTGAAACCACAATGCATCTTCACAATATGTGATCCAACACACTGCAATGCAAACTGTAAAAAAAACCAACCGAATAGCACGTCAGCATGTTCCTAAATGCTGCTTTCATATCGCTAACTACCATGTCTACAGTAAGTACCAATGTCCACATTAACGCAGATTAAAACATGTTCAATAATTTACACTAAAGAAAAGCAAAAAACTCAAAATCAAATTGTGATGGACGGACTATTTAGATTCCTCTCTCATACATATGTTCAAGTCAAACCAATGCATCCTTTATATTTTATATTAAGTACAAGTTTTCTTTTCACTGCTGATATTTACATAATATATATGGTTTGTTTTTACCTCGCAATTTTAAGCCTTTCAATCGTTTTCTTTTTAAATAAACACAAACTGGAAAAGGTGGCAACATGCATCTTTAACACACGCATACATTAAGTAAGTCAAGGTGATACTTTGTCATTTAAGTACTTCAGTTTTTTTCAAAAATTAGGCTAAAAGAATTTTACATTAAAAATAAGAAATTTGTAATGTCCTTGGCAGAGCCAATTAACCACGATATCTAATTAATGGGAAAGAATGTTGCAACCTGACGCCACTCTTTTCTTCATGTTTTATCTCAATGAAGGTCGGTCATTGTAAAAATGATAAAACATGAAACTTGGACTGAGAAACATTTCCAATTTTTGTTAGGAAATGATTTTTGACTATCCATAGACTTTGTACACAACCGCTGAAGTGGCGTCAGGGTGCAACATTCTTTCCAATTAATGTTCACAGAAGTGATCTGAAAGTCTTAGTGTCTAGTCTTCATAAACAGTACTAATGTAGATGATGAATGTTTAAGATTTGAAAAAAATACATTTGCACGTTCATTCACTGAGCTCCTAAAGTTTGTCTGATGTGTAACATCCGTGATGCTGATGTTCTGCAAAAGCAGCTCTATTTAAAATTTGGCTTTTGACATTACTAAAAAATACATGTATTAACCCTGCCACCAGAAACCCAATATTATATTCATCACATCTCCATTTCGCATCTCGTTTTCCATTCACTCAGACCACATTCCAGATGCGCATGGCAACTCATGCGGCCACGTATAGGTCATTAATTGCTTCCCCAGACGCCACGGACAATAAGACACCTGATCCCGCCAACCAATTAACGGCTCTGACAAATGAACTGGTGGCACTGGTATGACAAACCTTGGGCCAAGAAAAAAAATCAATCGACCATTATCCAACCCTATTTTTTTTTCTGGCTCAAAAAAATTGAGAAAAAAAAAATTGAGAGGAAAAAAAAAAAAAAAAAAAAAATAATACCAACCCAATTTTCTTTTCAGTGTGATAGGAAACGCATTTTTTTTGCTTGGCCTTGTCAATATTTTATCAATTTTTTTTACCAAGAGGTAAAAAAGATGGAGTCACCCCATATACATAGTAATAGATATCTTGAGAAAAAATTGAAATGTGAGTATGCAAGACTAATGGAGGAGACTGCTGATTGAACGTTCGGATGGAGGATGTAATGACTTGGCCAATTTTTTGAGGGGATTATTTTACCCTTTCTTGTATAATTTTTAATATCAGGATAGGAGTGTAGGTCCAAAATACATAAATTGCTATAAAGTGCTGTAAACACTGTTTACCATGTTTACAGTGAAACATCAGCAATATATGTATGGAAGTACAGTATATGGATGTGCAATACATATGTATTTTTTTTGAAAAGTAGTATATAGGGTGCCAGATATATTATCAGCCATTTAGAATGCAGATTGTACTATCAACTGTTTCTAATGGTGTTCTCAATAAGTACTTTGGCCACAGCTGCTAAAAATTATTTTTAGAGGTAATTATTGTCAAGGTAATTCATATCCAAGGGAATAATCAAGGACAGGTTCAACACTTTGCAACAACAGATGCTGTCGTCCAAAATGTCACCACCGCTTATTTAACAAATTGAAAATCAGAACAAAACAAATCTTATGAAATGCTTTTAAGTACTGATAATGGTCCTAGATTCATCATGTCCATACACCAAATGTTGGTAGTTGCATACTCTAATAATTTACAATTGTTACAAAAATATTTTTGGTGCAACTTTTAGTTATCCCATTTGATATATATTAGTGGTAGGAGAAATCAGAGATTTCAAATTCTGGTTATCGTAATTTTTTTTCACCGGAATTATCGTAATTCTGATTTCACCGGAAGTTCCCATTCAGCTCACAGACATACCAACGGAAAGTGACGAGGTGCCGCACAGAATGCTGTACATGATGATTTGGTATACATGTACTTGTAGTTTGCGTGATTGAATGACAACTGGGCCTTTAAAAAAAAACTTGAGAGCTGTAATGTTAAAAAAATGGGTGGGAACTCTCTGATCAGACGAATGGGCAGGATACTCATGAACCAAGAAGGCTGTTAGCAAGTGAATGCAGTTACAATCAGAGACCATTGGGAGATGTTCCAGTTGAGGCATAATTTTTTTTAAGATTGGTTTTGAATATCCGGTTTCCAAAATTCAAACCGAATAGTGGAATTCAAACCAGATATTAAAACAATCTGAATTTCAATCCCATCACTCATAAACATCTGACTTCCTGTTTTTTCCGTTACATTAATTTACATTAACCAAATGAGCTCAGGGATTAATTTACCGACAGCAGGGGTTGAAATCAGACACAACTGCTTGAACAATTAAAATAGATTATGCCCTTCCTGACCAAAAGCTGTTTCATAGATGCAGTACATATGGCTGTGTCGAATATATTGAAAAAAATTCAAAACACTAAACAAAATGGTCTGACTGTTGGTGACTAGCCAGTGTAAAAGGCATGGCAGGGGAATAGGATTGATTTTTTTAATGTATTTGACCGTTTAGATGGCAGGATTATTAAATCAGTCAAATACATGCATCAGTGATTCCACTACCTGTTCTTGACACAATTTTGATAAGTTCTTTGTCAACTTATATGACAAGCGCAGGCGCACGAAAATCCAGATTGTTTGCCAGCTTAGGCTGGTGCACGTTTAACTTGATCAGTGCATTTCAAAATTGAATATGTGAATACTCGGTCAAGTTGGAATAAGTGAATACTAGATTATTTGACAATGCACAATCAATGGTCATTAAATGTCTAACTTCACCCTCTGCAATAGGATCGTGAAGAATTTGGTATTTTAATTGGAATACTACAATGGAGTTTGGCTTACCCAGTTTTTCCTCGTTATTTCCCCCCATTTAAAAAAAAAAATATAGTTCTGATCAATGCATTTGGCCCCACGCCTCCAAAAGTATCGTACATTTTACAAAAGTTAGACCTACAGATATTATCACTTCGGACAGAAACTGTGCATTAAAATACAACATAAGCATCAATTGCATCGTATAAGCAAAACACAAACATGGCACACAAAAACAGAGTTAATCGGTAGATGATTGCAAACAATGTGACAAGAAGCAGAACTCATACCTTTTGTCGTTGCTTTCGCAATACTGTTACAACTCGAGCACAAATTAATTGTAGGAAACAAAATCGGCAATTAAAAATATTTCCTGGGTACAGGAGCAAGGGTTTATACAGGCAAGCTGGTCCAATGTCATTTACTCGCAGGCGAGTTTGCTGTCGAAGCTACTCAACGCAATCCCCATGGCTTGCACGGCACAGAGAGGGTAGTTGAAGTCCATGGTGAAGACGTCTTCAGTCACGCGGCCAAACTGCATCACGATGTACTCCGCTGTCAACAGCAAGATGGCAAAGACGAGAGAAAGAAATTCAAGTACAGAGGGAAACTTGGATTTTAAGTAGTGATGGTCTTCTGAAGATAATCAGTGGAAACAAATACGGAAAGAATGTAGTTTCCAGACGCCACTTTAGCGGTTGTGTACAAAGTCTATGGAGAGTCCAGAAAATTTTCTAAGTATTTCCTAACAAAATTAGAAACGTTCTTCAGTCCCAGATTCATGTCTTTTCAACATTTTTGCAATGACTGACCTTAGTGAGATGATATATGAAGAAAACAAGTGGCATTAGGATGCAACATTCTTTCCACAAATATACTGATTTTAAGCCCACAAAGATTGTTTGGTATTTCGATTAATCATGTTGTGACAGTTATTTGGCTTTGTTCCTCTGATTGCTGGGTCGTTGATCACGTGTCATAGAATTATTTGTCCCAACCCACGGCTCCGCTGCACCGCAAAAACAACAGTTCCATTCCACGGTAAATAGAAGTTCCATCGCATGGTCACACTGTTTAGGTGTGAATAATGAATGTTTCACATTCGTGCAATGGGCACAATAACATTTATTTGGTGACAGATGTAATGTTTCATTCCACTTGCTTAATTCTAGTCATGTAATGCACACTCAAACAAGCGGGCCTTGCAGACAGTGCGGTATGAAATAAAATACGCCTAACATGAATTTTAGTGTCAAAAGAATAATATTGATAAAGTGATACTCACGATCATTTGAATGCACGACTTGGAAATTCTTGACGGATGCCTGAGTTACTCGGCCGTGGAAGTTCAACACGTAGGACTGGGTGTCTGTCCAATAGAAAAAGAAATGACATAAAATCAAGACTATAGATAAGAAACACGGATTCCAGGTAAAAATGCAGTCGTAATCCCATAGAGCTACATTAAATAACTAGACATGCTAGAGAGCCAACTCTCCATACACAATGTAGCCTGCTGGACATCATCCATGTTTTGAGTACAAACCCAAGGAAACTTCAAAATTTTGTATGGCTTCTGATGCTCTTTGCATATTGAAATCCGATGCGTAAAAGAAACTGATACGCAAAAAACCTGGGATAGCTTTGTTGAATTGGAGTTTTGCAGAATTACCCCACCTCTCGAAAATCACCCCCTAAAAATCAATGGCTATGCAGTTGAAGAACTAGGAAAAGGTCCAATGTATAATGTACCGGGTAGGTCCCCCAGAGTGGCTATGCGGATACGTGGATAAGTGGGAGTGAGGTTTACTTAGGGTACTCAAGCGTTACTCAGTAGCTGGCTACGAAGTGGAGAGATCGAGTGGCGGGGTATTCTGCAATTGTGCCTTTGAATTTGCCAGAGCCGGGGTTAATCTGAATAAGAGAGGATGATGGAGGTATAAATGAGCCAACCTTACCGTCATTCCATACTGGGGTCTTATTGTGCAGCTCAAGCAGGTTCTCCATGTTCTTGCCCTTGAAGCGATCTAATATGGAATCATGTACCTGTGGAGAAACATGTACAAGACAAACATGTTTTTGGTTAGCTTTAAATTCAGGACAGGAATTATATAATTTGAACAGTCAGTCAGCGAGATAGATAACCAGTCTAATTCACAAGTTACAGTCAATTGGTGAGATAGGTAACCAGTCTAATTCACAAGTGCCAGTCAGTCAGTGAGATAGGTAGCCAGTCTAATTCACAAGTGCCAGTGAGTCAGTGAGATAAGTAGCCAGTCTAACTCACAAGTGACAGTCAGTCGGTGAGATAGGTAACCAGTTTAATTCACAAAGGGGAGTCAGTCAGTGAGATAGGTAACCAGTCTAATTCACAAGTGACAGTCAGTCAGTGAGATAGGTAACCAGTCTAATTCACAAGTGACATGTCAGTGAGATAGGTAACCAGTCCAATTCACAAGTGACATGTCAGTGAGATAGGTAACCAGTCTAATTCACAAGTGACAGTCAGTCAGTGAGATAGGTAACCAGTCTAATTCACAAGTGACAGTCAGTCAGTGAGATAGGTAACCAGTCTAATTCACAAGTGACAGTCAGTCGGTGAGATAGGTAACCAGTCTAATTCACAAGTGAAAGTCAGTCAGGAAGAGACTTACGCAAGTCTAATTACAACTACATGTACACTTTTACCATACATACATGTGAAAATGGGCTCTTAATATTTGCGATACTGACCTTGCGTGGTCTAAATGCTACCCTCTCGTTGTCCAATGTCATTCCTGGGATGACAATTGTCATCTTCCTGGGACCTTTGAAGCCAAGGACATTGGTTTCCTGAAAGCATGGCCATATCAAGGAATACATGTAAGTAAAAATGCATTAACCCTACCAGTCGTCTGCGCTCCACAACCGTTCAAACTTTGCAAAACCACATTTGCAAAAACAAAAATAGATAAAACTTCAAATCCCTGCATTAATTTCTTTTGTGTGGTTTAGCTCAGGGCAAGCAGGCAAAGTCTCTCCACAGTGCTGTTTTTTTGTACAGTTCTCTGTGTAACACATTACTTTAACACTTCATATCCCTTCACCTGAAACTGACCTGCAGGATTTCAAAGGGTTTTACATATTGCTTTGAATATCGACTTCCCACTAGGAGGATTTTCATACATTTGTAAGAAACATGACTGCTTTGCGCATTAGAAACCCGCTGTTATCTTCTTCATTGTAAAAATAAGAATTAACCCACCCACTCACCCCCAGAAAGTTGGAATTTCACTTAAACTTGAAAGATCTTATTCCTAGAGTTTCTAAGTCTTGGTTGTACTGAATGTATTTTTGCTACTCATACTCTGCGTTGCCCAAACAGCTATTTCTAGCCTTCGTTTTGAAATTGTGGGGAGTGTGGCCTATTGGTTATGGTTCGTGGATCATGATCAGAGGGTCAGGGGTTCGATTCCAGCTGCTGGTCATATGTTGTGTCCTTGGGGAAGCCACTTCAGCCCACTTACCTCTCTCCACCCAGGAGTATAAATGGGTACTGGCATTAGCTGGGGAGTAACCTGCGATGGACTGGCATCCTATCAAGGGGAAGCAGAAGTATTCTCAGTTGCTCATGCTACTGAAACTGGAGATAAATGCTGGCCTGATGGGCCACATTGGCTCGAACCAGACTTTACTTTGTTTGTTTTTTTAATTACTTTAGAATTTAAATTACCTCCATGCAAAAAAAGGGAACATGGCCATTCAATTCAGATACAAAGTTCCAGGAAAGAACACAACCAACCACTCTATATTTTTGTTTGGATGTTTTTGAAAATTATGAAACATGGAGCCTGTTTGGCAGAAACAAGACTTACATAGATAACTGCAGCCAGCTCTTGGCGTGTGTTTGTGCCGTCCGCCATTGCACCGGGCTTGTTTGGACTGACACCGTTGTCGTACACGGTGAAATGGGTGCCCATGAAGTTGGACCTATGGACAGATAGTCGGGGAAGATTTTTAAGTTATTCATGTTTGTAAGCTGGATGAAGGTACAAAATGCACTGAACATCCTTTAAATGTGCATGCCAAAGTGCCAGTTCTTCATTGACAAGAAACAGCCTTGCCATTTAGCAATGGGCCGAATCCTCCAAAATGTTCAAACGGAGGATACCCTGTGCCTCAATCCTTCAAAATCCTCTAACAGCCTCGTCTCAAACTGCAATCAGCCTCAATCCTCCAAAGTCCTCCTCTTCTTCAAACACCATTCAGCCTCCAAATCAACCGATACTGAATGTCCACGTGCCCTCAATCCTCCGCAATCCTCAAAAATTGTATGTTGCATTCAGCCCCAAGCCCTCCAAAACCGCCCAGAGGACTTTGGGGGATTGAGGAGGGTTAAATTTTTGTTGAAGTACAGTTTACAAGTGTGTGTCAGAGGCAAGAAGATTAGTTGAACCCTTTTTCCTACCTTAGTTTTCCCACAAAACTTTCTGCATCTCGAGATAGATCCGTGGCATCTGTTGACAACAAGTAATTAGACGTGGTGCTTTTCTTGCGTCTCCTAGCAGCCAGTAAGAATAGCTTTAAGGATAAAAAAATCAAAATAAAAAACATTGTAAAACTCATATAGCACTTTCCATCGTATCAACAATCTCAAAGCGTTTTGCAATTATTCCCTTGATCAGCAGGGCATGAGACCACGCAACAGCCGATATCAGCACTCAATCGGTCCTCTACCCTCACAGGTACCCATTTATACTCCTGGGTGGAGAGATGCAATTGTAGTTAAGTGTCTTGCCCAAGGGCACAAACGCCATGTTTCTGGCACGTACCATCGTACATGAGTCAAACACCATAACCACTGGACCATGGCATTCTATTAAGCAAGAAATAATATCCATACAAATTTTTCAATAACAAAATAATAATGTTTCGTACAACAAAATAATATCGCTTCCTAAACTTGTAAACACTAAAGTAAAATATAACTAAATAGTATTTCCATACCGATTCACAAATTTCCAACAAAAATACCAGTGAAACTGCAGACCTTTTTTGAAAGGACTAACCCGTGCATAAGTGATCATAAAAAGATGCTTATTTTACTTGAATTCAGCAGAGCATATTGTTCAATGGTAAACAGACTTTGAACAAATACTTCTTGGAAAAGTTCTTTTTTAAATTTCACCTCACAAAATTAGAAAATAGCTCAAAGAAAACACACACACACACACCCATGCACATGCACATTGTGCACCCAAACGCCTTCCCTTAATCTGACAAAAATTGCTTTTACATGTTAATTTTGTCCCACAGTGCACACAAATTCTATAAGTCAAATCTGTTTACAATTGTACATTCCCTGTTCCAAATCCTTTTATTCCAAAACAGTACCAGAGCAGATAAGATTAAGTCCTTGACTTTTAGGAACATATGCGTCTCTGGAAGGAATTGGGTCTTACTTGTCTTTTGTTAGACATGGTAGAACCATGCCGCACACAAGCGCAGTATTTTTTAAACATAAATTGTATTGCAGCCTGTTTACGAGCTTACAGAAGGGACTCAACCGTTAAAAAGACAGCAGAACGGACAAAGTGAATGAACATTATATTTGCTTGAATCTAGAATTATGAGGTGACACAATTCTAAAGGCACAGGACATCATACATGTACGATGTATGTACATGTACGTGCACATTACGTGTAATTATGTATGTAGTGCAGCATTCAAAGGCGTCAGTCAAGATGGACAAGACAAATATCTCAGTTTTGTTGTTCGGATGGGAAGGCCAGACAGATACAAGTAGATGAGCTGCCTAAATGATGTTATTCTTTACTGTCTGGTACAAATTACCCATCGTCCGGCCACGTGACATTACGCAGTGCCAGACAATCCCATTAAGCATGGTGTTAAGCCTGGTTCTGGCACAGCATTATCTCCAACATCAAATTTACATTCAGTGATAGGATTATTTATGGAAGGGATCTCTGGGGCCAACTGACGCGCATGCCACTCTCTGTCATGTCTGTAGTAATGGGCTGTTATCTACGGAGTGCTCTCAGACAGTCATTTCAATAAATAATATTTACGGGCCTCCCCCCCCCCCCCCCAAAAAAAAGACCCAACATATTATGCAGTAGACAAGTACATGTAGCCACATTATAATTACCAACATGAACATGTACATTTATAGGCCGATATTCACGTAGTCAATTCTGGTGTTATGCCAATTAACCACGATATCTAATTAATGATCCAAAACTCCTAGTCTGTAATCTACTTGACACCTAAATGATGGACGTATACAATTTGAGAAATGCATTTTCAGGTTTAATCACTGAGCTCTTAAAATCTCTGTCGTGGACATTACACATGTTACATAATGCTGGAATTGCATGTACAATGTATTATGTATTCACATGAATGTAAATGTACATGAATGTACATGTACATTCATCAAACATGTACATGTGCATGTAAATGTATGATGTACATACATGCACATGTACATGATTCTAATAAATGAGTATGATTACGAGATAACGCTTCCCATTAAATTCCTACCAACACTCATTGTTCTTTTTACAGAAATTTGACAGGGAATGATCGAGTTACACTGTACATGTACGGTACATACAATGTAAGGCTAAACATTGAGAGATGTTTCTCTTGTGATATTTCATGTATGTATAAAGCCAATGATGTTAAATTCAGTTTGAACCCATTAGCAAATGGTACTTTGTATTCATTGTTTGATAAATCCATCAAAACCATAGAGAGCTTGGTCATTATTGGGCGGTACAAGGAGTAACAGGCAGGGCACTTTGGGCTAGAAAAGGAACTAACTGGGCTAGTTTTATAATATCCTCATCAGTTTAAACAAAAAATATGTTTGGTGTCTTGACATGGAATGTCACATCATTATTGATGCAACTAAAAATGGCTGAACAAATATTTCTGACTTAAAAACAATTTGGCCAAAGAGTGGACATTATGACACAAAACTTGTTAATGTATGGTGCCTCTGAAACAAAAGTTGTCACGCATAATGCATGCATTCACGAAAACCCTTGGCACGTGCACACACAGCACATTCTACTGTCCGTTCGCACATACCGAAATTTGTATCCTTGTGGACACATGTCTTTGTTCTCGAGTACTTAAGTTGTCGAGTTTGAAAGTACAGTTTCAAAATGCTCTTATTTTAACCAGAATTAATTTCCTTGGCTGAAATTCGGACTTAATATCCCTTTTCTAAAACTCTACCATTTGCGACGGATCAACATACCTTGGAAATTCCTAGTTTTTGAGTAAAATCCATATATCTATTTCGTGAAAACCTTGTGGAGACGTATTCATCTATAGAAATTGCCCTGTGGAGACGTAAACAATCTTCAGTTCCCTATTGTGTGCATGTCTCCAGAGGGCACGGTGTATCAGATCGCAGAAAGCATACTGACTTTGTACTGCGCAACACACACACGTGACAATTGGAAACTGACCGAACAGGCAGAAGTATATTCCAACGTTTACCTTTTTGCCGTTCTCGGTCTCCAGGTGCAGGAAGTAGGTGGGATACATGCTTCGGTCCACCCCTTTCCTGTCACGGGAGATCCGGCACCGGACTGACAGCCCCTGGGGGGCAGGTCGTAGGACAAAGGCATCCAGGTCACTCAGGTCAAAACCTCCTCCTGAGGCACCCATGACTTTGGTCGATTCCTGTCAACCAAATAAAAAAGAAAAACAAAAGTAATTAGTAAATATTCTTATAATTTATTCTGGTAATGAAACCAAGGCTTCATCAAAAGTGCCCTAGGTACTGTAGCTCACAAGCCTGAAGAAACCTGTGGAGAGAAGACAATGAGAAGAAATGACAGTTTTAGTGCTGGGAGGAGAAGCCCAGAATGATGTTCTAGGGAAAACCCACGGAATCAGGTAGGGACTGAAAACCCAATCCACAGGTGGACCAGGGCAGGAATCAAACCAAGGCCATAGAGGAGGAAGGTGCGAAAAGTACCCACTGCAGCAACCTGACTCCCCGGATAAATTTAAAAAAAAAAGTTGTTACATACATGCACTAACCTACCGTACATGCACTCCATACAGTATACATGTACATGCACACATATTTGTCAGAAGCCATGCTAGTCCACTCTTTAATAGTTGCACATGTATATTACTTCATAAGGCCAAAAAAAAAAAAGTCTCCGGTTTCTGGTATGGAGCTTGCCCCAAAAGTGGTGCGGCGACGCGGCTTTTTTTTTTTTTTTTACCTGTTTTTTTTTTTTTTTTGGCTTCAAATGTCGACTGATGACTGCAAATGGTGCCCGACTAAACTTAGTGCAAATATATGGGAGTCCAAAGAGGCCGCATAAAGCTTATTCTCGATCATAACCCCATCTAAAAACACGTTAAAATTGTGCAGCAGCAGAATTCCAGTCGAACCAGTGAGTTTGGCGGTTTTGAGACATCATCTTGTATTGAAAAAAAACCTTTTTCATTTTGCCGACGCGCATGGCTACGGCGACGCGCGCGCATACCAGAAACCGGAGACTTTTTTTTTTTGGCCTAAACTGAAACTAACACATTTGCATTGCACTTATGTCATTAAGTGCTACATGTACCCATAACTGTTCTCATTATTAGGACTGGACACAAATTAAGTCGCTTTAAACGAGCTGTATATGGTACATGTACTACTTGACCTTTTCAGAAGCTGTAATTACCAGAACTACATGTACAAGAACACATATGTCTGGTTTTCTGTGAGCATTCCTTGAAAGCTTGAATTCTGTTGAATTTTTTTCAACGGCATGTGAATGATACAAAGTAATTTTATAATCACTAAAAAAGGCAAAGACGAAAAATTTTGTTTACGGTTAAACCTGACCTTCACTTTGTACCTGAAATTTGTTTGCAGCAAAATCGCTGACCTCAAAATTAACAAAATAAACATTACCACATCAATAAAAGCACACACACTGCTCATCATGTTACACACTTTTGTCCAATGGGTAACTAACATGATTAAGGAACATTAGCACGTAAAGTACATGTACAAACATGTACACTCTGGTTACCTAAAGAACACTGTCGATTCTTTGAAAATAAAAAAAAGTGATTTTATCCAAAAATTATTTGTATCTTTGTATCTAGACAAAATTGTCTATACATTGTAAATGGCCAATTTACTGAGGTAAAATGTACTGTAACTGTTTCAGTTTCAAAAAAAAATATCCCCCCCCCCCAAAAAAAGGGACAAAAAAATTAATTCAGGATATGTTTGTGTTAAATTCCCTACATAAGTAATACCTGGACTGGCGGGCTAGCTTGAGTACTATAACCACTCTCTGTGCCTGTGTAACCGCCTGCAAAGCCAGTACTGGTGTTAAAAGTTGTGTTGCTGCTAGAGTTGCCAAACCCGATGGGCTGGGATGACGGGTACGGAGGGGGCTGTGACGACATCTGGCCCCCTGCGGGCCCGCTGGTGTTCATGATGCCGATGGGCGTGCCCTGCTCCTCGTTATCTTCGTAGCTGACGGCCTGGGAGATGCCCATGGCTTTCAGTTTCTTCTCCGTCTCTGGTGGGTGGAGGGAAGGAGAAGCGGTAGGGTAACAAAGTGATTGATTTGGCGATAAGATACGATGGTGTGCATTTTTGAGGAGATGCTTAAATATTGCCGTGGTGCAAAGCAGTTCTTGCAAGGTAGACTGGTTCCTGTCCTCATAACGGAATCAATATAGGCACGAGGAATCAGTCTACTCACAGGGAAGATCTGTTTTGTGCAAAATGAACCGAAAATAAAGCCTTTTTTTCAGAGGGTTACAGACCTAAAAAAAAGTAGGTTTCTTCATTAACTCAAACCTTCCAAACTCATCAAAATCCACCGCCCCCATTTTTTTTTTGGGGGGGGGGGGGTTTTGATAGGCAAGCCATAAGTACCAAGTCCATCAAAATCAACCTTTAACAGTGGTGGATTTGTGGTGGATTTCAGCGGATTGTGCCTTGAAAAGTTACAAAACTGTATGTGAAGCAGAGTCAGTGATGGATTTTAGCAGACTTGGTACCGTACTGTTCTTAGTAAAACTCAGTAGGGAGTTGGGGTTAAAATAAAACAAACAAGCTGATCATTTGTCAGGATAAAACATTGAATTGAATAAGAAAGACAGTGGCTGTGCATTATTGACTAATTTAGTATTTGATTACTTTATCTTGGACTTGATCATACATTGTATGCGAAATGCGCTGATCCAGTTTTACATTCGCCAGCCCGAACTGGCTGCCGATCTGAAACTGGCTGTCAATCTGTTTGACCTTGACCCTGTGTGCACCTGGGCTGGTTGAAAATTGCCAGAGCTTATTAAAATAATGTAAAGAACAGGTAGAGGAATGGAGTGATAGCTGACCAATTATTACAAAGAAATTTGAGCTTATACAATGTATTTGAGGCGTTCTGGCAAAATGAGACGGAATTGGTGACAGGCCTGAGTGAAAAAAAAAAAAAAAAAAAAAAAAAATAAACGGGGGTGTTTCTTTTTTATTTTCAATTTATTGATATTTGTAATCTTTGATGTGTCTGCTACACATATTTTAAAGAAATAGTTAAAAATCGTGGAACAAAAGTGTTTTTATGGAAAAAAACAATTGGCATCTTTCATTTCCACGACTACAAAACTCAAAACTTTAGAGGCCTCTTTCTCAGTATTTTGATTTTTTGTCGATAAGTGTTAAACAACCATCACTTGTCAACAAAATTTTCAATTGGAGTGCAACAAACACTATTGTAAGGAGAATTTTGTTCTCTTTTCTAATACCCGCAAACCCTCATTTTGACCTCTGCCCAGTTTCATCTCATTTTGCCAGAACGCCGTACATATTCCTAACGGAGGCTCTAAAATCATGCACGAAAGTGGCAGCTTAAACGTTTTGGACGTTTTTACATCATCTCCTCAGACGGCTCACATTTAAAAAAAAATTGAATTGAAAAAAAAACCAAACAAGCAAAGTTGTGTTAAAAAACACAAATGCCCCGCAACCATGCCTATTTCCATGACATAACACTCTATTAACATCAACTTACCTGGGTCACATGGAACGTTCATTGACATCGTTATTGTTTTCTTTAGGTTATATTGTATTGATGCCTATAATGCCTCTATTGATGCCTATAGTATAATGCCTACATGTATATTGATGCCTATAATGCCTATATTGATGCCTATAATGCCTATATTGATGCCTATAATGCCTATATTGATGCCTATAATGCCTATATTGATGCCTATAATGAATTTTTGTTTTATCCATTTGGATATTCAATTGATGATCGAATATTCCGTAAATGGCATGGCCCTATTAGACAGTACATCTTTTGCTACATGTGTTAGTTTCCTTACCTGTGGTTTCCCTGAATGTGGGAATGTCGTCATCATCTTCCGTGGATGAACTCCCGACGGTTAGGACCTGCACCGTGGTCAGCGAGGAGTTCAGGGAAAAAGACGCCGGCCCGTCAATACCTGCAAGCAATCAGACGCGGCTAATGTTATCGACAGTGCCTGGAAAAACAGTTGGGGAGATTTTAATCGTTTTTATCTTTCTGTCGAAAGAAACTACCACCCGTTGGAGAATTGCCAGGGAAAATAACGTTAGTGGGAATGCCTGAAGTCACGATTGCTAACGAAATTAAAAGAGAAACACTGAAATCGGTTTCCTGAGGAAATCAAATGATCTTATTCACAATGGTTAGTGTATAGGGCGAGTCAGAATGATCTGGACCCAAGTTCACCATTTTTTGTGTGGCAAATAGAGTATTTTGAGGAAAAAAATGAGTGTTTCATTTGATTATTACCTTGTCTTCCACAGGAATTTTGAATTTTTCAAAAATTAGTGGCTGTGGTGAGGAGTTATACCATTTTCATTGAAGTGGCTCATTTTCCAGTCTGCACACGGAATTGGTTTTGCCTTTTTTTAAATGTGTCAATAACTTCAAGTGAGTCAGTCACCATGACTAGGTTTTTATTTGTTTATACACTGCTTCACATCAGTACGCGATTTCGATAAATTTGTTGAAACATGGAACTGTGGTCAGAGAGTTTTTTTTTTAGCGTGCGTTCTTTGCTAACGCTTTTCTTCAAAATGGTACAATGGACATGAAACGTTCACCAAATACAATGTATGTCCAAAATACCAGCCTATAACATATCTCATTTGCACATGTTGTGATAATTGCTACATATTTTTAAATATTTTCTTAAATTTGGGTCCAGATCATTCCGACTCACCCCGAAGTAGTGCCATTTTGTATCCAGAATCATACTTGGGAGATATTCACAGTCGATGTCTGTTTTTCATTCTCAAAGTGAGTGGGGGGGGGGGGGGGGGGGTTGTCTTTTTACGAGCGTCAATTCAAGGCACAAATCTAATGCCTTAACTTTCGGAAGTAGGACTATGCTGTGAATGACAATTGCCAATGCGTCTCGTACCCAAGAGTAATGTGCATTGATCGCCGAGCCGGCCAGGAAATCAGCTGAAAGGGATTCAGTTTCTGTAAAAAGCCTCAATAAACATCCATACATGTATGTTCTTCAGTTCTTTCGTCTCTTATCAGCGGACTGCTATCAATTTGCCATTCGTTTTGTCAGTCAATCATGCATAGATGTGAATAACAGTCCCTACATTTACAGCCACTAATGGGAATCCGTTATGTGTACTTGCATTTTACATATGTACTTGGCCACTGAATGGGTTTTGCCATGTCTGCTTTTTGGCTTCTTTGCATAGTTAAAGCTATAGTCCATCAGTTGCAGCTATCCAAAAATTAACTGCCGAAATTAGTGTTGAAAAACATACTTGGTGGAAAGATAGTAAGGGGACTAAACTCCCTGTGAAATTATTCTTTCTGGCAAGCTGTCATTTTGAAGAAATCAACAAAAGAAGGCCTTTCCTACGGTGTGTCTTAAGACGCACCGTTGGAAATTTCCGTTAGTAGTTCGTTTTTTTTTATTCGACGAAGGCACGCAAGCATTGACACGATGCACACGCGCGTGTGGTTGCTTTAATTCATCGGTTCAGTGCGCGACATCGTGTAGCTGCAATCGGCTCAGTGAGAACGTGTCTCAGACGCTGAATTCAGGCCCAATTCAAAACATGATTCAGCAACTTTTGATTTGAAATCGAGATCCTACAATGCTGTTTTTCTCGAAATATACATTTGAAGCTGAGCTGAAACGTCATCAGGTTAGTTGTTCAGCACCCTTCTTTAGATTTTGAGCACGTTTGTTGCTTCAAACGAACAAAATGCACAAATTACCAATGATGGACTATACTTTTAAGGAAAATTTTTGCTTTTGTTGTCATTTTTCTTTCTTTTTCTCCTTTTTCTTTTTGTTCTATCCCAAATCCAACAGAAATTGTACACGTTTTGGTCTCTACATAACTTTGAGATAAAAATGGTCATACCGTATTCCTTTTAAACTTAACCAGGACTAACATACATGTAGACAAAGACCATATAGCAAAGATGACGCCGGCTTGTTGCAACATGACGTCATCATGGGAGATGTCACGTCATCTTAAAGGCAAATACTTTAATTTGACGTCAGGGAGACGTCATCATGTGATTTTATAGGGCCTATACATTATATAATCTTTTCAGCATTAAAAAAAAAATTCACTCTATGTAGCGAACGAAACATGCTACATTCAAACTTCTTTTTGTACATGTAACATTTTTGGTAGGTCATGATCATTTGCACAGAATAGTGAACATGTGTGGCATCACTATGATGTCATAAAAGGCAATTTCATACAGAATAAGATATCTTATTGTCACGGAACTTTGTTTGTACATGTAATTGAACATTTACATGACTGCACATGTAACAAAAAACCAAAGGATTTTAAAAATTAGAATGCGGAAAAGCCCTGTGCCCTGTTCATCGAACAGACATAGACCTTTAGTTTTCTCTTTATGTAGTTGTCTGAAGTCCATTTTTTAATCTTTACAAATGGGGTATTCCTGGTTCTTACATACCTCCTTGAACCAGGAAAACTGTTGACCACGATAAAAAAAATAGGTCAGTAATGTGCACCATGTGTACATTTATACATGTAATTGTTTGGTAACATATCACGATGCTCTAGATTATCTTTCTATTAATCTGAGAAACCCGAGTGGATAGTTTCAAACCAAAGGTTGACGATGAAGTGGATTGAACGGGATGAACTTTGAAGGTACCGGTAGAGTACATATCATTTGTCCCTTTTTTTCGTTTGAAGCAACAAACCTGCCGGGTACACAAAATCTGTAGAAGAGTGCTTAACAACTAACCTGATGAAGTTTTAGCTCAGTGAATGCTGTATATTCCGAGAAAACAACATTCTAGATGTTGTTTTCAATTAAAATCTTGCGAGTCATGTTTTGAATTGCACCCGAACTCAGCGTCCGGGACACATTCTCATTCAGCCGATTGCATACGCGATCTCATGCACCGAGCCGACGAATTATAGCAACCTTGCGCGCGTGTGGGTCGTGTTAATGCTGGTGCACACCCATTCACAGCTTCGTAGAAATAAAAGCTAACTAATAACGGAAATTTCCTAAATGCGTCTTAAGACGCAGCTTTGAAAATGACCTTCTTTTATTGTTTTCTTCAAAATGACAGCATGCCAGAAGGAATACCGGTACTTTCACAGGGAGTTTAGTACCATTACTAGCTTTAAACCAAACTTATGCTTTTCAACAATAATTTTGTCTGTTACTTTTTGGACAGCTGCAAATGATATACCCTAACTTTAATAGAAAGTCAATTTATGCAAACAAAGAGCAACCCCAGATGCAGCAGAATACTTACATTGTACATACATGTTTCTACAATGTATAACCAATTAACTATTCAATAAATAATGGTACATCACGACACACTTCAATGCATTAGCTCTAACCTAATAAAGAAAGGGGGCCTCAAAATAACACTAAAATTACATCTGGCATGTCTGGGCATGAAAAAGTGGACATGGCTAAAAATTAAAAAAGTAATGAAATCTTCAAAATTGCAAACATCACAACCTCCTATTTTGCTTCATATTCAAGCAGACAGACCTTTCATTTGACATGTTTGAGTGATGTGACTGAGAATATGGAAATGAACTTTTTTTTTGGTTAAAAAACTGGTTTTGGGGCTAAAATTATGGATTTTAGGAAGTCATTTTGGCACCTTGTTTTTACATGCAAATTGCAAGGGTTTTTGTGAACTTTTGTTTTTAAGGCAGAGAAAGGTTCATATTTTATTTCACTTCAGTCTGCATTAAAGTTGAAACATGTGTGTACATAGGGGAGACAAGTTTGCAGCACATTCAACATTAAAAAAAAAATGAATCTGGAACATTTTCTAAATCCTCAGGATTTTTTTGTAGTGTTAAACTGATCTCTTTTACCAATGAAGAATGCAGATAAAATATACAAGTTTATCGTGAAGCCGTACAAATAGATTCACGTACACTGTACATTGTACAATGTATACATGTATGGTACAGACAGTGTGTTCCTCATTAACATAAACAAAAAAAAACCAGACGATTTGTTTTCACCACAGTCTTTTTATTCAGTTCATAGACAGACAGGCGAGGGGCCTTCTTTCAAACAGCACGTAAAAGCAGGTATATTTTGCTCCATCAAAATAAACAGAATATTGAAAGCAAATCCCCTGCCTGCTGGCAAGCGACAATGCCAGCCGAGTCTAAAGGGCAAATTGTCGGCCGTAACGCGGCAAGTCTAATCAGACGCTGGAACTTTTAAGAGACGGCTCATCCTCATCCGAGGAGAGGCCGGCGAGCGAGAGATGAAATTGGATCGGGATTGACGACGCTGTCAGAATCACCACCGCGTGTTTATATGAGGACCTTGGAAACGAGGGGGTGAGGACGGGGGAGGGGAGATGGCTGGATTGAAGAAAAGCGGAAAACGAATGAGTGACAAAGTCCACTCGTGGTCCAGTGAAGGGTGGGTGTAAAGAGATCAGTTTCGAGATTTGGACAACTGCTTCATCGCATCTTGCTGGATTTGTTTTGGGACGGCAGCGTGTACAACACGCACAATGTGATGTACAATGTACATGGCAGTTTTAACGATGAAGTCAAGTTCAAAAGTAAATCACAAGTTCATCACAAGTCAGATCAAAAGTAAATCACAAGTCCTTTAACGTGTCCCGTCAAAAGTATACAGTGGAATCTAGATAAGTCAAACCTCGGGGGAATTGGTTCAAATTTCGAGTTAAGCAGACTTTTGAGTTATCCAATGGATTTTCTATTCAACAACAATTAACGGGAGTAAGTTTTTACTTTGAGTTACATGTAGAAGGGTTTTGAGTTAACAGGTTTTGACTTATCAAGATTTCACTGTACATATACATGTAACTTAAAGTATACAGGGATGAACAATAACGAGGAAGGCTTTTGCGACAGTTCATTGGAGTAGCTAGTTACTTAACTTGAGATTGGGGGATTTGTGGGGACATGTGAGGACTTGTGGACTTGACTACAACACTGAACTCACAGAGGACTGTGATGTCCACTCAAAAGTAACAAGGGATGAACAATGACAAGGAATGCTTTTGCGACAGTTCATTTTAGTAGGTACATGTAGTTACTTAACTTGAGATTGGGGGATTTGTGGGGACATGTGAGGACTTGTGATGGACTCGACTACAACACTGAACTCAGGCAGAGGACTGTGACAGTCAAAGATTGTGACGGACAGATTTAACGTATTAGAAGGGGGCGTGGGAGATGGTGTATTACATGTATTATCCAAGACTGCACTCGCAACTACATGTACACGTACATGTACTTGTACTTAATAACTGTCCTAAGCTCATCGGCACACCACCTACACGACCTTATCCCAGTCGAGAGTACAGCCATATGTACATGGCCAGCTGATACTGCGTGACCCCCAGGCATGTCTTCGATCCGAGGGTTCCTTCAATTGGCTCAATAAACTGGCCCTTTCCTTAATTGAGCGCACGCTAGAGAGGTTTCCGACTAATCCATGACCGCAGGCGATTTTCCGTAGCACCACCTTGCGCAAGATTTCCTTCCTTTTTGAAAATGAGGAGATGTGGGCTAGGGGGGCATGATAAGAATGCAGACTATCTACTTGGATCGTGTTTTTGATGGAGCGCAAGATATGGAAAGTAGAAATTAGGTTTAATAAGGTCTGCCCTGTAACTCTTTATTAACAGGCCCTACATGTATCTATGTGTAATGCGCGATCTATAAAGTTTCTGACCCTGCCAGAACTGCTCCATCCGTTCAGCTGTTCCTGACTTTCCCTGTTTTTGTAAGGGTACATATCAGACATGCGATTAGCAGTGAAGAGACGAAAATGGGGCAAGTCTACGCTGCACACAACTTTCTGTTTTCTGAATTTTTAATGCAGGGATGCAAGTGGCTTTTTTCCTCCAGGGCCAGAAAAATTTGACACGGTCACAACACACTATATAGTTTGCTATACCACACACATGTTATGGACGCAATCTGGCAAAATGAGACGGAACTGGGCAGAGCTTGAAATGAGAGTTTGCAGGTATTAGGAAAGAGAATACAATTCTCCTTTTAATACAATACTGTTTGTTGCACTTTAATCAGACATTCCATTGACAAGTTATAGCTGTTTAAAGTTTGCATTTATCAACACGTCCAAAAAGTAGAATACCGAGAAAAAGGCCTATATAGTTTTGAGTTCTGTAGCCATGAAATGGAAGATGACAATTGTTTTTCCTTAAAAACACTTTTATTCCACAATGTTTGTACTATTTCTTTAAAATATACATGTATGTACGGTAGTAGACATATCAAAGATTTACAATAAATAAAAAAAAAAAAAAAAAAAAAAATCACCCAAATCCATTTCTCCCCTCATTTTTTTCTCCACTATGGCCTGTGCCCAGTTCCATCTCATTTTGCAAGAAACACCTCACATATGTCGACAATGAACGTACAATGCATTCCTCTATCGCGCTAGCAGGGCCATCGTCACGGAGCAGCACATGCACAATAATCCGAGACACGCACACCAGTGCGCACTTGGCTTTTAAACTATCATTCATTGATGAATGCGGCGAGTCTATGCAGAAAACTAACACTCGATTGAGCGCACTTGGCACGAGTCTAGCATGACAACACATAATGTGTAACAAATATTCAATCAGGAAATTTGATTCTTTTCAACTACCCTTCATCTTCACCTTCCGTGTTTACAAAAAAAGATTGCTCTTCCAAGAATCGTTGGCCACCAGCCAGAACAATTACTAATGAAGAACATCGGGGGGAAAGAGGGAATATTTCACCTTGAAGCCCGTCGCTGGCGGAGGAACTGTGGGATGGGGAGACCAGCGGCCGCGTCTCCTCGGGTACCTTGCGTCGCGACTTGCCCCCTGAACCCTGCCGCTCCTCGTTGGGCTGCACCGCCATCGGCTGGTTGTATTTTTTCTTCTTTTCACGCAGGAGGGCACGCTGCACAGCATCAATTACGTAAATAATGGAGCAGAAAAATGAAAAAAAAATAGAGGATCAGTTAAGACAAGACTCAAGGCCGACTGTGAAGCGCTAATGGGTTTAATGAAGAAAGGGCTACTCACACATGGTTCATTTCATGTAAATAACAATGTGCAGTTGCAAATTCAAGGGTTAGATCACTGAATAATGAGACAATGTCAAGATTTAAGCTGCTTGCAGTTGAGCACTTTGCCAGGCCTTGCAGTCGATTTGTGGACCTGTGAACAAAAGAGGTCCATATGATGCAGAGCTTACATGTAATATGTTGTGGACTTGCATAGGTCCACACACACAGGCTAACATACCTACTGTGGACATTCAGGAGAAACCGGAGGAAAAAACCCTCATTTTACTCGTACTGTGAACACTCTCTCAACCCAAATTATTATCATGATTTCCTTGAGTGTTCCTCTTCATTTTGCGACCGATAACCCTAACCCCAAAACCCTACCCCAAAATGCCTCTAAACCGGTTTTCCCAGAGAGGGGGAAACCATGTGTGGACCTGGCTTAGTCCACAGAAGGTTCACACAACCTGCATCGTGTGGGCTTGTTTTGTTTCCAGGTCCACACAAAGATGGCAACGTTGGCACAGTGTTTTCCACTTTCTGAACAACAGTGTTAGACGCATTTTGGGGATAGGGTTACTTACAACAAAATGAAGTAGAGCATTCAAGTAGGCCCTATATCAAGGTCAAAACTTCACTTTCAAATTTGTTTTGCCGTGCCATACTGTCCACATACTGTATGTATTAACACAATCATGGGTGGGTTTACCTATACTTTGGTGGCCTATTTTTCCACTTCACTTCCAACTCTAACATCCAATTTAAAAAATCATTGGGCTGAAATTCGATACTAGTGTACAAGTATTTCACAAACTTGTTGAAACATTTTTAGCCCAATGCCCACACACACACAAATGTTTGCAGCATAAAGTTGATAAAGCGGCATAAAGCTGCGAGTGACGTCTATATATATACACACAGGGGGGAAAAAAATTCTCGCAGTTACGTTTTGAGGCAAAGCATGCATTAGTCAAAACGATAAGAGTAAATCGCTGCTCTGCCCTCCCATTTCCAATAGACCTTGCAATCAGGGACATTTAACACGGTTTGCCGGACTTGGGACCGCAGTGAACCGCACCTGTTTTTCCAGTTTCTGCTCCCGAAGGCTGAAGGGCGATGCGCCTTGCTCATCGTCCATGATGCTGCCGGGAGGTGCCGAGTTGTTATTCCATCCGCCTCCCTGGCTGGGTGATAATGAGGAACTGCGCAAGGAAAAAAAGAGAAAGGCATGAGAAAAAAATTCTTTCAGAAACGATGACAGATGCAGGAATGGGATTGTCCATTAAAAAAAAAAAAAGTCTAAAAATTGACGACTTGTCGGAAAAATGCATCTTTCTATACTAATAATGTCTTTCTCTCAGATTGAAAAAAGTCTGATTTCAGACAAAAGTCTGAAAATGTAATGCCTGCAGATGATGACATCAATTAAATAAACAAACTAAACAATCGTAGAAATGTATGGTTGTGGTCTGAATACAAACGTGGGCTACCGGTACATGTAAATGATAATTTTAACGAACTGTGCATGTGTGCATTATGTGTGTATGAACTTGCACGTACATTACTCATTCTTTTGTACTGTCAGTTTTTCTTATTGTTAGTTGACTTGTGAATTGGATACAAGCAAAGTCACACGTACATTTGTGTCCAACAATATTTTATTCAGTTCTTGAAATTTCATGCACATTTACAAACATACTGGTACATGTACAATGTAATTGTAATGTAATTGTTCCTGTGTGTACGTGCATGTGTAATCTGGGATGATGTAAACATGTAATATTTGGTACAGAAAGGCAGATATTGGTACTTTAAGGAATTGTTTGTGAGAAAGTTGCATTTTTGTCAATATCTTTGCATGATTCAGGTGGAGGGAGAAAGATATTCCTTTTGTGGTGGACTTAGTAAAAAAAAAAAAAAAGAAGACATAAAAAGGAAAACGAAAAAAAAAATAATCCCACAAATTATCAGTGAGACAGGGGCCGCAAATGACGTCAACAAGATATTTGTTACCATGGCAACTATGGCAACGGAGAGGAAAGCAATTACTACTAAGCATCTGGCACAGACCGGTCTTTCCAGGCGTTGATTCACGGTTCGCGTTGCCTTGGAAGTCGCTTGAGTGAAATCTATCTGAGTACAGAAAACTGACGTCTTCAGCCCCAACCACCCCCCCCCCAACAATTCATCCTTTGTCGTGCTTGTCTTTACACTGACTTGGTGTTTCAGTTCTTTGCAATGGGCAGTAGTGGGGCTATTCCCCTTGTGCCTTTTGTAAGGGAATAAATATGTGCTTGGCGGGTTTTAAACAAGAACGTTTAAGACTGGCTCAAGGGACTGGACAGTGATTATGGCCCGAGGCATTATCGGTGACAAGGCCCCTGAGCCCGTCTTATACGTATTTGTTTAACACCGGCCAAACACATTTTATTCCAATTCATAAATTACCTTTGAGTCAAAAAGTCAAAACAAGTCAAAAATCATAAATTTATAATGATTTTGTTCAACAATTTTGCTTCATGTTTTCTTAAACATCCCTCTAGCCATGTTAGGATAGTACCGCTCACGAGTAGTTGTAAACATCTCCTTATATGGAGATTGGCGGCGTGCGCGTGGCGCGTACTGCGTGATGTGGCACAGAACGCGGCAGTGCCGGTGTAGTGTTAATTTAGGACTCTCGAAATACGGACTCATTGGTAGTATTGGGCATGCCTAAGCGAACATTGTGAACGTTCGACCAATAAAAGGGTATGGGTCCACATTTCATAGAAGTCCAAATTTCACGTGACCCCGGAAAAGTGTTTTACGACCTGCCAGCTGGTGTTTTATCAACATTTTAAAACCACCCACGTGACAGGCTCTCGACCAATAGGAATGGGTAAACTGTTTATTAATAAACTTTAAATGTGAATCACATTCACTTACTCATTTTGTTGTTTTGTTTTTGCATACTGTATGCAATCTTGCAGGCTAAATATTTTTTACACATTCTTCGCGTGACACAAGTTATGAACTTGATATACATGTAAACACATTCTGGAAATACAGTACATGTAGAGAACTTAAAGGGAATAAACAACATTTGCTTTTGCTGTAATTTTCAGAAATGGATAGATGGGGGGGGGTGTTAGTATTTTACAGCAAATATCGTAACACTAACTTGTTTGAAGATTTGTGTTTGTAGATCCTGAAAAAAACAAAAAACGCGAAAAACTCACTTTCTTGTAGTCTGGTTCCCTGAGCAACTTATAGACGTCGGGGAATTGTAAGGTCAGGGAACCAGTCTAGCTGGCTTGTACCCATTCAAAATGCGGACTAACTCACTCTGATAAACTGGGAGCAGTGCATTGTGTACTTGAAGAAAAAAAAGCCAGTTTTTTCCAACGCTGGTCGGCTGGCCAGCATTGGAAATTGAAACAAAAATACCACTTTTCTTGAATATGTCAGCACACCAGGTGCCATGATTTTACAGGATGCTTTAGACTGCCACTCACTAACAGTCCAGTAAGGTACCGGGTATTTCATGATAACTTGGTAGTTTTGTTTTTTGATGTTTGCAAATGTTGTACATTCCCTTTCAATGGATTTTATGTACCAATACATTTACAATACTTACCGTATTGTATCATTTGGTTCAATACATGTATGTAAGTGTACATGTACTTGAATCTATGTGTGTGTAATGGTCTGTGCATAATGTTCGTACGCGCATGTACAACTACATATATGTACATGTAACGGTAGTACTCGTATTTTGAATTAAATTTTATAGACGATTAAAAATCCATGCCTAGCCTTTCATTGCGGGCGGTTGCTAGGCACCCTCTGTGGTTGCCTTAGTGATTGTGTTCCTTTATGAAACCACACAACACGGCTCAGTGCACACATGCCATGACTGTCTGTATATTGCACAGGCTCTCCTGTGCTATGCATTGTGAGAGGCATTGCAGAGAGCTGTACACAACACAGCTGATTGTCCTTCAAATCCATTTGTACATGTTCAAATGCATACAAATGTACATGTGTACAATGAAATGATGAATTGTACACAGGCAACAAAATGTGCAGGGGAACAACTTGCAATATGCTCGGTACACAAATGCACGTATGGCATCAAAATATAAAAATATGTACCGGTAGCAATACTATTGCTACATGTATATTTTTATATTATGATGCCATACATGTACATGTACGTGCATTTGTGTACCGAGCATATTGCAAGTTGTTTACAAGTACATGTACATAGTACACGTACATAGTACACGTACATAGTACACTGAACCATACTTAAATGGAACTTCTACAGTGTCCATGTACTACTCTATCATGTCTATTACTATACCTCATGTATTCATGATCAAGAGCCAAATTCTAACAGGTCCATTCCCATCAGCTATTTTTGCTGTTTAGTAAGCGCGCACGCGAGTATTCACGCCCTTTTTTAGTAGAGGAGGCATGATGCCTCCTCTACTAAAAAAGTGGTCCACAATGCGGTAGAACTAGAAAGTCTTAGGAGAACTTTACTTTATTGCAATAGCACTGAGCTTTTCTGAGGTTGAGCAATAAATTCTTCTGGTGAGCTGGACAAGTTTTTTCGAAGATTTTATGCCACAATTTGTGTGTGAGGTACAGTAAAACAATTATAACGTGGTTTATTTCAGGTGGTTCACCTCGGGAACTGTCAACTTCCAATACCTCGGGGAGCTACATGTAAATATCGACTATCCAACCTCAAACCATGTTATATTTGTATAATTATATGTACACACATGTAAATGTACATGAATTGACCAAGGCGGCAACATATGAAGTGCCCCAAGCACTAATGGTATTACAAATGTAGATGCACTATAAATTTACTGTGTGCATCCGGACTGAAATAATGACACTCTGGCAATTGGCATTTTAAACCCTAAACTCGACACGTCATTTTTAGTTTTGGGGGAGGGAGAGGTACATGTAGGGGAGGGGGAAAGTTGAATTAGAAGATATTTGTAACGTTGTGTTCCGCGCTTGTCAGACCAAAAATTGGACAACTGACGACTGACGTTACGGTACACAACTTACGTAAATGGGGCCGAAACCAGCTAATGATCTACGGGGCACTCGCAAGATCTACATGTACGTGCACTTAGCGATGTTAAATTGGCTCCCTGAGGTGCAATCAAGAATGCAATTTTCCGCATCGTGACAGCCGATTACAAATACTAGCGCCTGATGGGGCTTCTACCAATCATACTGCACTGTTTACATGGAGCACGCACAGGAAATTGCTACGTGTAAATGGGATGGCCACGGCAATTTACAAGTATATTTCACAGATCTCTGATCACAAAGCACTTGGAAAATGTACATAAATGTATACATTATGTACAACTTTCTTCAAGGTGTATAGAGGTTTATGTAATGGACATTGAATCATGAGAAACAACTTGTTTGCAACAATTAGGCAATTATGTATAGCTCTGTTTCTGTTTAGGCCATTTAAAATTGATTTTTAGGTTTTCATCATCGCCCGCCCCAATGTTCACGCCTGCCCCAATGTTTTTTTTATATTTTATACTTTTTTGTAAAAGTGTGTATTTTCTCTAATAATGTGAATTTTTTCAGACAAGTTTCTCACAAATCCTCAGGCAACTCCGTTTTTCCAACATCCCATGGTGCATAAATGCATGCGGCATGCATGCTTTGCGTGGACACTGGTTCCCACCAATAGACACTGCTAGACGACAATGAGCAGGGCAGGAGCCAGCCTGGTGCATGTCCAAATCATGCCCGAACAGATTTTGAAAGATTTCTAGCGCAACAGCGTTGAAAATGATAAAAACTATGCGAATCTTTAATGAAGGTTTAATTAACAAAAGTTGGTCCCTCTTTCTGCAAATACATATATGTATGTATTTGCTGCTTTCATTTTTTGTTTCTAGGTCTCAATGCCTTTGTTAGTAGCGATTCAGTGAAGCGCGATGTTTTGTGAGTATCTGCCAGTGGTGGGGCTGGTCGTTCACATGGCAGTCGGAAGTTGGGTCCACGCATGATGTTACCGGTGTTGGCCCGGCATTTCCCCTTCACAAGTAGTGATGAAAAGGACTTAAATTTTCCCTTTTTTTAGTGAGTACTGCCTGTTTTCAAAATTAGACCCGTTAACATGGCATCACCTCTTCTAGGTTTAGTATCATAACATTGGACTTCGGCCCCCTTAAGTCACTTTGGATGTGAAAAATTGGGATTTATAAAATATAAAATATAAATACATGTATCATTCCCCTCCCGACTGATGAAAACCTAACTCAGTTTTAAATATGGCCTTACATGTACTGTGTACACGGCAGACATTCGCTCTTCTACAATGTGAGTTGTCCATTAGTGAAATATGCTGATGATACCGCCCTTATTGGTCTGATACACAAAATCGACAAGTCTATTTACTTGGATCAAATTGGTTGGTTTGTAGACTGTAAACGTAATTTCCTAGAACTGAATCTGATCAAGACGAAAGAAATGTTGGTTGACTTCCGCAAAGCTTATAAGGTGGTACCGGATCCAGTAATAATTGATGGATGTAAAATAGAACGTGTTGCCAACTATAAATATCCAGGAGTCAATTGATGATAAGCTAGACTGGAGCAACCATGTGAATCGTATAGGGAACAGATTCAACTGGAGAATGTACTGCCTGAGGACATTGACCACATTTGATGTCAAGAAGGAAATTAATGAACCCTCCTTTGCAAATCATTCTGGGGCAAGTTGTCCTTTCATTCAAAATCAATCAAGTGACTGTTTCAACAGTTAAGAATTCCCGGACGACATGTACATGTACATAAGCAGGATTGACTGGCTCTGACTGTTTAAGTAACTTGATACAGTTTTGCTTTGACAGTGGGTTATTGATAAGCCAGCTGTGCCCACAACTTGCCTGCTTTTTCTGTTTTCATCGTCTGTTGACTGAGTTTGACTAGTCACAGTGCTTGCTTGACATGATCCAACTGAGAGTGACTAGCCTGCATTAAACATGTTAAAAGTGTAGCGGGGAAGTGACAGGGGAAGTTTTGACTGCCTGTGAATGTTTAAATAGCAGGAGGGTTAACATGACATTCCATGACAACGAAAAAAGTCAGTGACGACACCATCGAATAAGCTTGTAGAATAATCAATGAGTGTTTGCCATGGAGACATGTCTACAATCAACGGCTGCGTGATAAGCTACAACTGGTGTGGGGAGATGCTGGTCATCCTCTCCACAGATGATTTATGGTTAACATTATTCCATGCAGCGGTACACTGAGACCAGTGGTTGAAAACACGTACACATGTAACCGATTTCCTTCATTTTTCACCGGTAGGACCATTAAATGTCATAATGATGCTTTTATAAGATAGTATTTTAACCCTAAGAACCTTCCCTAATCCTCCCAAATCCTCTTTGCAAAATGGAGGATTTAGGCTATGGTCAAAGTGTGTGGCTGATTTTGGAGGATGCACTGTGTCAAGGTCTTACTTAGGCCGGACCTTGTGTTGTTTATGCTCAGCCGTGCATAAATTTAGGCCTACAGGTATAATACACTAGAAATCCTCCTCACAGCTCCACGATTGTCACTGGCTCTACCTCAACATATTGACAGTGATTGCCGGAGGATTTTGCCGGATTGAGGCAGTGGTCACCCTACAAGGACAACATTCAAGTAAAAATGGAGGATTTTGGAGGATTGAGGCTGTAGGCTATTTTTACATGGAGGCAATTGGAGGATTTTGCAGGATTGAGGTTACATCCTAGCCAAAATGTCCAGGGAGTTCAATATCTTAGGGAGTATTAATTTACTGGCTTTTAAGGGGGACTGGGTTTTACAGTTTTTGCAAATATTAAAAAAAAATATCTACTGGTTTTCTTTGAGGGAATGGTTTTTATAGTTACAAACATTTTTAATTCTCCAAATTGATTATTTTTTATAGCGAGCAATTGTAACGTTTTGATGTTGTGATGGTTCAAATCCTGTGTGTATTGTAGGTGATTTTTTTAATGTCTATTATATTTTTAATGAGAGAAAAGAAATGTAATTTCAACTTTTGGATTTAATAAGGTTTTATCTGTCTATCTACTAACGCATGCTTTACATTTTTCCCAACATTAAATTGGTGACAGATGTTTTCAATTACAATTATTTGTTATTACAAAGACAAATGCGAATGGAAATACAGTATGTACATGCGTACATGTACATAGACCCAGAATTGTATGCACTGAATACTACTTAGACACGTGTGTAAAAGTAGGAACTGAAGTTTGATGAGCAATTGAACTGTGCATCTTAAGTGATTAAAGGTTCACACGGTTACTAAGAGAAGAAAACAACTTGGAGATAACATTGTGTCAAATACAAGCCTTTCTATTAATTAAACCAAAGATCAAATATCTGATGATTATGGATTTTGATAAAAAGGAACAGCAGTGCCAATCTGTAAGGTCATCTGGTTTCCAGACCCTAATGAAAACAAATACATGTGCGTATAAACCTAACCATGGCAACAGGCTGGGTGGCACTACCTATAAATAAACTCCGGTGTGGACTTTCACACACTGAGTCAGTAGTCCCAGTTTTGTGTTGTATGATTGCACAGTGTTTATGCAGTTGAGCATACACTTAAGTGTATGTACATTAGGTATATCATTATCAATCGTAGCTTCATGTATGTATTTTGTATACATGTAGATTACATTGTACATGAAGGCACAAATGTATCAGATGCATAATATTTCACATGTGAAATGCTACCAGTATTTTGATCCCAAAAAAGTGGGTCCAAAAAGTTACGGCGTGGGGTTCGGGGCCCGCTTCAGGGCCCCGAAAATTTTGTGGATTCTAGATGCTCTGTGGTGTGATCTGAGACAATTTCTGACCACTTTAACCAATTTTTTTTGAGGAAAAGATGGTGGTGTACGCAGTGCCTGCCTTTATTTCAAAGTCACTTTAAAAAGAAGAATAGGTTCTTATTTGGGGGGGGGGGGCGCATGGCCCCCGTTGCCCCCCCCCCCCCCCCCGGATCCACCCTTGACTTCCCATTATTTCTGCCCCTCCCAAAAAAGAAAATTTCCTGAAACCTTCAAAATCCTTTTTTTTGTAATGTTACATTACTAGTCCTCAATTAATTTTAAGCTTCACATGTTCACACCAATATAACTGAAGTCATCAATGGTTGTTCTGCCATATTGGCCTGCGCACATTGTAAATTTACCGAGAAAAAAAACCACCTGACCATTACCGACTTGCATTGTTGTAATTTAAGTCTACTTCAATGTTTACGCTAAACACAACCTAAACCATTTCATGCATACATGTATGCTCGAAGGGTCACTCACGCGATCTCCCCATCTATCATGTCTATCTACCGTTGGAATGAGGTGGACTATCGAGACGCTGAGGTAAGCGATCGAAACAAGGTTAACCGATGACAACGGAATAGCACAGACATGACAGACGATCTCAAAGAGGCTGCTGTTTTTTTCCCCACTTCTTTTATTATTTTTTTCTATTACTTTAATTGAAAACTGAATTTTGATTTTCAGTTATTTCCTCTGACCCACCCACCCATAATTTCAGAAAAAAAGTTCAAAATTTTAAAACATTGATTATTCTGAATGGCTCCTACTCACCAAAAATTAAAATGTCCAGTCAATGCAAATTTGCATTGATTGACCATAAGCATCACAGCAATTGTGTACATATACATGTAGTTATGGGTCCCTCTTTAGTTTTGGTCAAGTTAGATAGAGTCAAGAGTGTTTTTTATCATTCCAAAATGACTTCTGTAACCCAGGTGCGGATCGGGGGGGGGGGGGGGGGGGGGTATTGAAAATACACCCACTATTGGAAATTCATGGATAACCATAATTTTTTTGGTAAAATTAATTCCCAATCAAAGAATTAATAGGTCTAACTACCGAAACATCAGCCAAGAGCTTATTTCTCAATCTCATTACGTCAATGTTTCAACAATTTACAAAGCAATTAAAATACAAAATGTATGTACTCGTATTGGGTCTGAGTTGGTTGTAATTGTACGTGCAGGGTCCGGCACACCGAAGGTTTAAAACTTACTCACACTCACCGGCACCCGCTCAACTACATGTACAAATTCAACACCGTCAACCATTTAGTGAGCTTGCCGAAGTCGCGGTGTTTGCCATGGTGTGTTTACGATGTCATTTAAACAAGTTTATGCCAGATTATCTCTTTTTATTTTTTAAAATAAAATGTAGTTTCCATTGGAATACAAACTTTTTTTGTGTTTGATAAATCAGGCCGCGTTTTGGGCCCACTTAAAAAGAAATGTGGTCAAATATAGTGATCGATTTTGGCTTGCAAATGAGTACGGTACGGTAAACAGCAAAGCCAAATATATTACAGAAGAATTTTTTAAAGCGTAAAGGTCATATTTCAGTAATCCCATATCCGATTTTGAAAATTCAAACAGCTGTGACTGTGACTGTGTGAGCGTAGATATATGTCTTCTCTCACTTGACACAAAAAGTGGCTTTTAAAACCCTTTAAAAAATTGTGTGCAGTCTTATAATAGACTAGTTGGGCAAGTCCCAAAAACTAAAACTTGATTTTCGTTCTCTAATTATAAGCACGACGCCGTGGCCGCGCCCGTAACTACGCAATCGCCAAAATTAAGCTGGCTTAAAATAGTCAGTCAATGCATATGGATCTATTCCTAATCCTACCACCGTGGTCAATGCAAATGTTGAAAAAAACTTCTTGGCAAAGTTGTCAACATGATTTATTGAGTGATATTTGTCAATATTAATATCATGATTGTATACATGATATGATGATAATTGATAGGCCTATTTACGGTAATATTCTTGCATTTATTTACATGGTTTACATTTACATCGATGTAAACGTTACACTTCCTGAACGCCGTAACATTAGACTGTACTGTAGCCTGTGCGTCTGGTTAACCGTGCGTCTTCCGGCGATGATCGCCCCGCACCGCGGGGCCAGTTATCACGGCTGACCGAGCTAGGAGGATCACGAACATGAGCCCGTTATTTTTATCAAACTCACCCGGTGTCACGGTGATACATCCTTACAGTCTGATTCCTCAGTCTTCCTGATCACGAACTGAAAATACTTAAAGTGTGTTTTGCAGCACGTTCATGTATGTTGAGATGTGGAAGAAAAGACCACTCGATGCTTCGGCTAAATGACAGTCATTAAGAAGCTGCTAGTGCTACTGTATAAAAATATGCACGGTACGATCAGCGGCTACTAAGTGTACATAACAACAATTTTCATTGGCGATAACTGTTCATGTGATCAAATTGAAGATCAGCCATTGGTCAAAGAATAAAATATCCGCCATGATGGTTTGGGTTATGCGCATGAAGAACGCATGGTGGCGCTATAACAGTATCACTAGCGGACGACGGGCGATGCAGACTGAAATGGGTAAACAGTTTTCATTTATTATTCAGTGATTTGACCATTTTGTATACATGTATCTTATCAAAATTTCACGGTGGTTCGATAATTATCAGGCAGAGATGTTGTTGAGTGCTGATCCTCACCCACTCGGCACCATGGCATGCTTACAATCACAACTGGCATGACTGGGCAGTGGGAGTGGACAAGTTCCTGTGTCTGTGTGATTGTCGGATTGACTGGCAAACAATAAACATGGGAAAGTTAAAGGGGCACCATGTCCTGAAATCCCCGAATATTTCATGTTTTGGCTTGTTTACTTATCCTATTTCAAACATCTGGAAAGAATGTTGCAACCTGCTGCTGCTTTTTTCTTCATATATCATCTTAATGAAGGTCAGTCATTGCAAAAATGATGATAAGACATGAATCTGGGACTGAGAAATATTTCCAATTTTGTTAGGAAATACTTTTTCCTAAATTTTCTTGACTCTCCATAGACTTTGTACACAACCGCTGAAGTAGCGTCAGGTTGCAACATTCTTTCCAACATCTGGTTGAAAGGAAACCAACCTAATGTCTTTACAGATCCCGAGACAGGGGTGTGAAATCTCAGCTTTAAAGCTGATTTCAGCTTTTTTTGTTTTGGATTTCAGCTTTTTTCCCTCACTTGCTGTGTACAAAAGTATAGGAGATTTCCAAAGTTCAGCTTTTTTGCACCTTTTTCAGCTGTTTTCAGCTATTTTTATCAGTGGTCACTCACACCCCTGCCGAGAAAAGAGGAAAAAAAACACTGATTGTTTACATCGGACACGATGGAGTATGATACGTGTTTCCTGTCGTTTTTATACGATGTACGATACACGTTGTGTGTGTCTAGTAATTACACACGTACACAGCACCATGCTCATGAGCAGCGGTGACCAATCACCAATGCAAAAAATGTGATTTCTTACACGTTCGCAAAAGGCCAACCCTTGCGGCTGGAATCACAACTAGCATGAACAGCCCAACTTTTTGGGTCGCAAAAGTGGACCCCGGACGCAGTGTCCATTTAAGTTGCAAATCCATGACTGAATTTGCAAAAAGGCTTTTAACTTAGAGAACAAAAATCAATTTTAGGTTAGGCCAAGTAAAAAAAAAAAATAGTTGCTCGTCTGGGCTTTTTAAAAAAAATGAAGGAGGAATGTATTTTTTTTCCTCCTGTCTTCAATTTCCCACAAGAAGGCCGATTTTTACATATGATGGATAGATTCTTACATATTGTCGACTCTTTTGGTGAAACAAAATTGTGTCTGAAGGAGCCAGAACCCTTTTACATAGCTACAATGTTGTTGGAAACGTGCAAAAATAATGCACATTTATGATTAAAAAAGAAAAGAAACACAGGTGGGTGAGAAAACAGGAAGTGGGTGGGGACGAGAAACTGTTTTTTTTTTACTTGGCCTTATTGGACTAACTTGTACTGTAGTTGTACATACACATAAGCCCCATTAATGTGGCTCAAATACTGGACTTCCTCTGTATTGTGAGTCACACAGTGGTGATAGCTATATGTGGGGAAGATTTAATTTTGAGGAAATCAAAATTGGGATTGTTGTTTCACTTGATTATCACTATGGAAAATACATTGTACTTACCTGGTTAAATAGCCATTGTGCTTCTTTAGGTGTCTTAAAGGGACACTGCGTCCTGGAACAGCCCAATTGGGCTACAAAATGCGCTTTAAACGAAATGATGTTAATCGGAAAGAACATTTAAAAGTAGCATATAAACATCCACGCAACTATCCTTTAAAAACTGGGCATTTTTGTGTTATTCCTGTATTATGCGTGTGAGAACGACTTACGGTATTAATGCCTGCAAGAACGACATGGCATTTGAACATACATGTAGGGAAGGTAGGTACAAATGTAGGTAGGGAAATTGTTTTTGGCAGGGGCAATTTTTTTGTGTACGATCATATGGAGGTGTCTGCATGTAGTCAAGGGTAAAAGGTAGTAATTGTTGGTTTTCAAGTTTTTTTCCTCATTTTTCCCACCAAAAAAAATTAGGGTAGGGGCTTTCAAAATAGGGTAGGTAGGGAAACCAGAAGCAGAACTATTTTGTTTTTGGCCTCAGCAACCCCATCCACCCCCTAACCCCTGGATTCCACCCTTGTTGCCCAACGTTCTACATAGTATTTTTCCAAATCAACAATAAACTTGTAAAACAGTCTACATTTCCAAGCGAAAATTGCGAAAACTCATTTGTTTTTTATTGTTTTGTTAAGAGTTTGACCACTGAAGAATATGTTCATTTCCACTACTGAACATATTTTTTAAAGTAAATACTACATGTGTACTACAAAAATCCCAACTTTGAAAAATCTTCATTACTATGGAATGTTTAATTGCAATAAAACAAACCAACAATCAGCATAGAAAAATAGGAAGAATTTTCCATACTTAAGTAACCCACCCACGCAAATGTATGTTCACTGTCGATGGATGGACCTCCTATTGTCCCTCTTTTGTTTCTACTCTTTTTAGGAAGACTCCCATAGGTTTTGTACACGACCCCAATCGCGAATGTATTCTGGGAATCGTGGACGATATTGTTCTCTTTTGTTCTCTGGTATTTTTCGTCCACGGTTTGAAAAGATGAACACGTACACCCCCATCCGCTTGCATCTGATATGCAAGAACACAAAACTAATGTCCCAAAACATTCTTACAAAGCTGTGTACAAGAAGAGAGCTGCATTTAAGGTATTGATCTCAGAACAGTTTGTAAATGTGCAGATTTTATCTTGTCTCCTCTGTCCCGTCTGTTACTAAATACAGCTGCTTCCTCCCCTGGCCACTACGGAGACAGAACGGGAAACCAGAATGGTGGAGCCAATTTGCGGAAACTTCCCCCCGGAGCGACATTCAAAGTCACCAAGTCCATGTGGTACTTTGCTGTATTTTTTATGGTCGCAGTAGGAGTAGACGTCGTCTATTATTGGCAAGGCAGTGATGTTGAGGTAAAAAAGCGGAACCCATTTCACAAGGTTTATATTTATTCTTTCGTGGGGAGCTTGGCCAAACCACAGTTTTAATCAAGTAATCATCAGTCTTCACAAGTCAATCACAAGTTACTTAAATCTAGTTTCAAGTTGACTGACAGAGCTAGTGAATCCCTCCTACTATTGTTTGGTCAGTCACATACAGTCCAAAATTTCTTCCACTTCCTCTGCCGTGCATTTGTATGCAGACTAGTAAAAATCAGTCCAGTCACGTTCGTTCGTGTAAACACTGTGAGTAGTCGAATTCCATCAACGGACAAAATAGGTGACTAGTGGGTACAGCTGGCATATCAATCACCTCCAGTCAGAGCATGGTTATATCAAGTTAACAAGGGAATTGTTATTCCAGTCGCTCGATTGATTTGACTGCGGCTGTGATGGCGTTTTGCCAGCCAGAGATAGGCAGTGTTCTCCAACTTTGAAAATTAAAGGTTGGCGCTGGGGTCGGCGGGGACTCCTGCGAGCGCGAAGCGCGAAGCCCTTACGGCGTGGGGTCCGGGGCCCGCTTAAGGGCCCCGGAAAATTTTTGGATTCTAGATGTTCTGTGGTGCAATCTGAGGCGATTCTCCAGGCCAGTTCCCCCGATTTATTTAGCATTCAAAAATTTCCTTTTCAACCTAAAGCAGACTTCTCTCAGATCAAATGACACCTTTTTGTAATTTTGAAAAACAAAATGGGATACAAATTACGTTTTTTTTAACGCGATTTTATGGGTGGTGCCGGTGCCGTGCGCGTGCGATCGTCATCTTTATTTTCATGTTGCGTTTTGTCGTTGTCAGAGTCATTTTCCCCCCAAATTTCCCTCTATTTATGACCTACCTGTATGTTCTTAAATGTCGCCAACTAGTTTGGTAAGTCAAATAAATTAAAAGTGGATTTTGTTCTCTTAGGGAACCGGGCCCATACACGATCGCCATTTACATGATTTATAACTTTTGACAATCGGCATGATCGGAACACCATGTGCACGCGTGTTTTGGCTTCGAGCTCGTTTGCCTCGTACAAAAACATCAATGCGTATTGTGTACCGCGCGTGCAATTGCACTGAGAAAAAGAAAGTCGGTTGGCTGCACGTAAGATCTGCCGTACGTACTCCTGCTGGTGTGTGTGTGTACTAATACAGATATCTATTTTTGCGGCGGGGTTGTCGCTACTTGAAGTATCGGCACACTCCGGAACTGGGATTCAGTTGTCAGTGTGTGTACATCGCGCGTAGTACGTACAGTGCATGGGGAATCGCTGGTGTTTGCACGGCCGGCCGCGGCGTGTGATTGATTCAGCGAGATTTTAAGACAACCCCGATCGGGCTGGGATGACATCGAAATACATAATGTGTGAAAAAACAACTGAAATCAATTATTTTAGTTGTAAATGTACACTGTAGAGTCAAAAAAATTAAACCTGGCGGCAGGATTTTAAAGCTTGGCGGGGACTTCTTAAACATGGCGGGCGCCGCAGAAAGCATGGCGGGGCGCCAGGTTTGTTCTACATGTTGGAGAACACTGGATAGGGGATTACATAGGAATTATTTTGTCAGTATTCATCCCCTGATATTCTCGTTTTGGCTTGTGATTCGACTTGTGATTGACTGGTAATTGATTAATGAAAAGTTTGGCCAGAAAAGTCAGTAGGCCATATTCTGACCAATCACGGGAGCTGTCCAGTCGGAACAAAATTAATAGGGCCTGAAAAGTTGGAGATGATGAGGGATACTAAGTTCTGAAATTTGGTGTAAACATCTCACATTTGTGTTCATTTTCGGAAAAGTATAAAGTATGCACTTCCATCCATGTTTCCAATTTGTATTTCCCTAAAGTTGCAAAATGATCCTCTCTAGGGCTGTTCTTTTATTATTTTTTTTCTGATGAGCCAGCCGTAGCACAAGTTCAACATGAAATTAATGGACTGTGATGCTGGTAGCATGCAGGGGATGTAGTCAAGTCCATCACAAGTCTAGTCACAAGCAAATCACAAGTTTATTCCCAAGTCCAGTGGCAAGCAACAGTGGATGAATACCTAAGGAATGCCTTTCTCAAACCTCACTTGAAAAGCTTGCGATTTGAATTGGGACTGGAGGACTTGTGTTGGACTTGCAAAGACTTGTGGCAGACTCGACTCTTCCCTGATAGCAGTTCAAAATAAATTTGCATTATTTGTATCTTGTCTACTTGCATGTAGCCTCTTGCAGGATTCCTGGCAGCTGTAGCTGTATCTGCTCGTCTTCAGCGAGTGACTGCGGCAGGCCTCTGGTTAGAACTCTCATCCTATATTTTGATGTCACTCACATTCCCACAGTGCTCCATGTATATACATTGCAGCTAAAAACAATTAATTTCTGAGGTTTCGCTGATCTGCCTTCTTCGTGCTGTGTATTCCTTCCTAGTTGTAGATGTAGATGTAGATAAGCATAGCTTGCTAGCATTGTCACGCTTGTACATGTACATCTGTTTGTTTGTCGGGCTGTCAGGCCATCTGTCTGTCTGTGAAGAAAACATGCTAATCACCGGGTTCTGCTAGAGCCAACAGTTCTTCACAGGCAAGATAGATTTCCTGCAGCGTTTTCATCTGTGAATCCTATTCTAATTTCCTGTCTGTTTTGTGACTTCTGTTTGGTGATTGGTCGAAAACATCTCTCAGTGACATTATAACCTGCCCAACTGCATCACTATCTGACTATGTATTGTCTTCCCACCTTGAGGCATAGCAAAGACACAAAAGAGGTTTCTTTTTATGCCCCGCGGCGAAGCCGAAGGGGCATACTGTTTCCGCCTTGTCCTTCCGTGGGTGGGTGGGTGGGTGGGTGGGTGGGTGGGTGGGTGGGTGGGTGGGTGGGTGGGTGGGTGGGTGGGTGGGTGGGTGGGTGGGTGGGTGGGTGGGTGGGTGGGTGGGTGGGTGGGTGGGTGGGTGGGTGGGTGGGTGGGTGGGTGGGTGGGTGGGTGGGTGGGTGGGTGGGTGGGTGGGTGGGTGGGTGGGTGGGTGGGTGGGTGGGTGGGTGGGTGGGTGGGTGGGTGGGTGGGTGGGTGGGTGGGTGGGTGGGTGGGTGGTGGTGGGTGGGTGGGTGGGTGGGTGGGTGGGTGGGTGGGTGGGTGGGTGGGTGGGTGGGTGGGTGGGTGGGTGGTGGGTGGGTGGGTGGGTGGGTGGGTGGGTGGGTGGGTGGGTGGGTGGGTGGGTGGGTGGGTGGGTGGGTGGGTGGGTGGGTGGGTGGGTGGGTGGGTGGGTGGGTGGGTGGGTGGGTGGGTGGGTGGGTGGGTGGGTGGGTGGGTGGGTGGGTGGGTGGGTGGGTGGGTGGGTGGGTGGGTGGGTGGGTGGGTGGGTGGGTGGGTGGGTGGGTGGGTGGGTGGGTGGGTGGGTGGGTGGGTGGGTGGGTGGGTGGGTGGGTGGGTGGGTGGGTGGGTGGGTGGGTGGGTGGGTGGGTGGGTGGGTGGGTGGGTGGGTGGGTGGGTGGGTGGGTGGGTGGGTGGGTGGGTGGGTGGGTGGGTGGGTGGGTGGGTGGGTGGTGGGTGGGTGGGTGGGTGGGTGGGTGGGTGGGTGGGTCCGGACAAATCTTGTCAGCGCGATAACTTGAGAAATACTTAACATATGAACTTCAAATTTGGTTGGTGGATTGTTCTTGGTAATCCTAAGAAGCCTTTCGCATTTGGGGCCAAAAGGCCAAAGGTCAAGTTCACAGTGGCTAAAACAATAGAAATCTTGTCAGCGCGATAACTTGAGAAATACTTTACATGTGAACTTCAAATTTGGTTTGTGGATTGTTTTTGGCAATCCTAAGCAGCCTTTCGCATTTGGGGCCAAAAGGCCAAAGGTCAAGTTCACAGTGGCTAAAACAATAGAAATCTTGTCAGCGCGATAACTTGAGAAATACTTTACATGTGAACTTCAAATTTGGTTTGTGGATTGTTTTTGGCAATCCTAAGAAGCCTATTGCATTTGGGGCCAAAAGGCCAAAGGTCAAGTTCACAGTGGCTAAAACAATAGAAATCTTGTCAGCGCAATAACTTGAGAAATACTTTACGTGTGAACTTCAAATTTGGTTTGTGGATTGTTTTTGGCAATCCTAAGAAGCCTATTGCATTTGGGGCCAAAAGGCCAAAGGTCAAGTTCACAGTGGCTAAAACAATAGAAATCTTGTCAGCGCAATAACTTGAGAAATACTTTACATGTGAACTTCAAATTTGGTTTGTGGATTGTTCTTGGTAATCCTAAGAAGCCTATTGCATTTGGGGTCAAAAGGTCAAGTGTCAAGTTCACAGTGGCTAAAACAATAGAAAGCTTGTCAGCGCGATAACTTGAGAAATACTTAACATATGAACTTCAAATTTGGTTTGTGGATTGTTCTTGGTAATCCTAAGAAGCCTATTGAATTTGGGGTCAAAAGGTCAAGGGTCAAGTTCACAGTGGCTAAAACAATAGAAATCTTGTATTTATTCTGAGATTATAGGGATTAGGGATTAATTCATATAAAACCTACAGAAGACACTAATGCTGTCAATGAATGTTCCATGTGACCAAGGTACATATAAGTTGATGTTAAAAGAGTGGTGTTATGTCATGGGAACAGTCACGGTTGCGGGGCATTTGTGTTTGTAAACACACCTGACTTGTTTCTTTGTGTGGGTTGGTGAGGGTAAAGATAGACCTGTGCATTTTACTGACAAATTCCCTTCATTCAATTTTTGATTTTAGAACTTATAGCAGGGGATGCAGTGTTCTCCAACTTTGAAAATTAAAGGTCAGTGCTCCGTCAAAAACCAGGGGGGGGGGGGGGGCGCAGTTTTTTAATGCTAGGGGATGCTATTTGCAGACATACATTTTGTTTATGCTGAGGAGTGCTTTTTCCAGGCGTTTATGTAATATACTTTAATATGGATAACAGCGTTTAGACCATTTCTAGCAGATAAGTATCCTGGCTTAGCGTCCTATCATTTTTTCTCCTTTAATTTCTCACTTGCTTGTCTTTTGGTGTGCTTTTTTTTTTTGGGGGGGGATGTTGGAGATTGGACCATGCTCAGACCCAGTGCCCGTGGCCATGATTTACTGTGGATGTCATGACTTCCTTGTCATGTTTGTTGGTCAGGTGCGGGTAGGCATGTAGGGGCCTACGCCTCGCAAAACCATTGAGAAGCTTCCTTGCTCTACATGCTCTGTGGCAAAACTTAGAAGATTAAGCAAGAACAATAGTGCGTGTGCCACGGCAGGACACTAGGTCTGTTTTACAGGTTGGAGAACACTGGGGGATGGGAACCAGAGTTGAAGTGAGAACACTGTTCTTGACATTTAGGTAGTTAGGGGCTAATTCACACCTAACCATAGCATCCTTTAACACACAAAATCTAATTTATCCACATTTTCACCGCTTAGCGAGTAGAGACTCGTACATTATGCACTGAGCGCATTAACTGCGATGCCACAATAACCAGTCACACCAAGGGTGAACTAACAAAACTGTGTAATAGTATACAAACAATGAATGTTTATGAGTGCAATGGTAAGAATAATTTCAAGATGAGGTGACAGATGGAATGGTCCATTCGAGGAGACGAGGCCGAGTGTAATTATTCTTACCATTGCACAAATGTCAAACATTCATTATTTGTTTTATTCAACGTATGACTATGTCCTCGTCATCAGAGCCATTGGAGCCGTGTTATAGTGCCACCAATAGTGTGGCTGAGCCATGGAAGTTCTATTTTTGCGGGGTTGCCAGGCCGTGGATTAGGACTTATAATTCAATGATACATCGTCAACGACCCACCAATCAGCTGACAGGGATTTATTCACGCATTGTATAACGTGTCCTAACCTACATGTAAAACTGTCATGGGCATGATGCTCCTTAAAGTTAGTAAGCAATGTTGGTGTCATGCACGCGATGTTTTTTCCCCCATGCAGTTCCATCAACAGAGGGTGCTCTATCCATGTGCATGCATATTTTGTGGTTGCCGCAGGGTTGTTGAGAATTAGTCACATAAAGGGAAGAGCTTTGGAGAATAAATTAATAAAGCACTGAAGTACGGCGGCAGATTACGCAATAGAATGGAAATAAAATATGTAATTTATTGAATTTTTTTTCGCTCTCTCATTTGTTCAACAAGTACTTTCTGATTTTATATCATGGTGTGGAGTGTGTTTTCACTAATTGCTTGGCATGCATGTGTATTTATCACTTAATATCTATATTGATTTCATCACACTTTCTCATCTCTTTCCTCCGACCAGATTATTTTGTTTGAACTTTGTCCTGTGTGCTTTCTTCCTGTGTGCTTTCTTTGAAAGTGTACGTGTACATTTAGATGTATCTTCATGCACTCTCACCACCACTATTTCCACGAATGTGATGTTCAACAAACAGAAAGGAATTTGGCCATTCAAACAGTGATTCTCAACCTAAAACCTCTTGTGAAAAAGTACAGTCAGTTCTGAGCCATTATTGCTGATCAGGCTGGTGTTTATCTCTGGTTTTCTTGGCATGAAACGGTTCAGAATATAAATTTCTATTTCCCCTTGGCTGGGATGCCGGTTCATTCCAGATCTATCCCTTGCTCATGCCCATTTATACTCCCGGACAGAGAGAGGTAAGTTGGGGTGAAGTGGCTTGCCCAAGGACACAACATTTTGCCAGCGGCAGGATTTGAACCCCCGACCCTCTGATCATGAGTCACCAGAGCTACTATTAGGCCACACCCCCTTTCATTAATGATAGATAATCAGATATATGAAAAATCTGACTCAATGCGGTAACCCAAAGCAATTTCTCCATACCTTAACATTAGAAACTTATTTTAAAAAGCCCATACAGAAGCACACGTACTTGTACCATCCAAGTTTAGCATAGCAAGGTTTGAATCAGGCTGATTTGGAATGTTGAAGGAAAAAATATCAAACCAAATTTATATTCCCATGCCCCCAGTTGTTGAGCCGAATACTAACTCCTTGCAAGTCACAAAGTACATGTATATAAACATCAATGTGCAGCTCATTGCTACCTTGATGCAACTTGTAATTTGACTTAAATGATTGACCTGTCATTGATCTAACTTATAATTTACACCTATCATATCGCCAGCCTAATCAGCCGCAACACAGACCTGTACCCGGGTATCAGATCAGGCAGAGGACAAGCAGCCACCAGTCCACCGAGTCTGCCTCTCGTCTTGACAGCGATGACCAGTCTTCCCCCGCAACGGAATGGTCCACCAAGCAGAATGCTGCTACATCCAGCTTCCTGATGGCAAATCCCACTCCCGCCGATTTTTCGACCACTCGGGTTGCAACCAATGCTGTCTTTGATGCCAAAGCTCTGCTCAGGTCGTATCCAACAGATGCCCTGAACTCTTTTTTCACCATAAAGAATGCCGCTCGTTCCTCCCATTACATGCTGTGCGACACTCTGGAACTGCACATTGAGGCTAGAGACCAGCACAATCACGTCAAACAACATGGCGGTGATTATTTCTGGGTGAGCTTTCAAATCTTGTGGGTGCAACGAAGTAAATAAATTCCCATACACAACAGTGATAAATCCCAATACTTCAAAATTCTTTTTAAAATACTCAGAACTCTCACAGGTGTTCAGGCTGCACAGAAAAATTTGGCTGCACAGAAAAATTTGTCAACTTGTCGTCTTTCATTTTCCTTTCAGTTTTTGGTGGGTTGACCGATGACTTTTTTGAGAAATTCTCACCCAAAGAAGATGACCCCTTAAATGAATGATAGTTTGTTGCACCCTGTAAGACACTTGTAAAATTGAAGATGTCATCTTTTTGTGGTTGGACAAGCCATCTTGTTGGACAAACAAGAAAAGAAAAAAAAAAAAAAAAAGGTAGGATTTCATGGGACCCCTAGAACACTGTTTTGATGCTTTTTCAAGTCAACTTGGCTAGATATTTATAACTCTATTAATATTTATTCCTTCACGAAATGGACCATTCCTCAAAAGTGCACGGTCACCAAATATTGGAAGAAACCTTTTATATTTGCACATAGATGAGACAAAGGAGAAGATGATCAATTTAAAGGTATAGTTCATCATTTGTAATTTGTGCATTTTGTTTGTTTGAAGCAACAAAAGTGCCAAAACCTAAAAGAGGATGCTGAACAACTGACCTGATGAAGTTTCAGCTCAGCTTCAGCTGTATATTTTGAGACAAAACAACATTCAGGGGTCTTGATTTCAAATCAAAAGTTGCTGAATCATGTTTTGAATTGGGCCTGAATTCAGCGTCTGAGACACGTTCTCACTGAGCCGATTGCAGCTACGAGATATCGCCCACTGATCCGACGAATTATAGCAACTGCGCACGTGTGCATCATGTCAACGCTTGCGCAAGCTTCGCCGAATAAAAAAACGAACTACTAACGGAATTTCATTGGAAAGGCCTTCTTTCGTTGATTTTTCCAAAATGACAGCTTGCCAGGAAGAATAATTTCACAGGGAGATTAGTTCCCTTACTATCTTTCAACCAAGTATGTTCAACAATAATTACGTCAGTTACTTTTTGGATAGTTGCAAATGATGGACTGTAGCTTTAAGAGAAACACTGGAATGATAATACACGTCAGCCTGAGTTGGATTTCACTGAAAATCCTCAGTTCATTTTATATTTTAATACATTTTTGCAAAAGAAGTTTAAAGCCAGAGTCCATCATGTGCAGCTATCCAAAAAGTAACTGGTGTAATTATTGTTGAAAAACATACTTGGTTGAAAGATAGTAAGGGGACTAAACTCCCTGTGAAATTATTCTTTCTGGTAAGCTGTCAATTTGAAGAAATTAACGAAAGAAGGCCTTTCCAACGGAGCGTCTTAAGAAGCACCATTGGAAAATCCTGTTTGCTGTTCATTTTTTTTATTCAGCGAAACGCGCACTAGCGTTAACACAAAGCACACGCGCGCATGGTTGCTTTAATTCGTTGGATCAGTGCGCGACATCGCGTAGCTGCAATTGGCTAGTGAGAACTTGTCTCGGTTTTAAATTTAGGCCCAATCAAAACATGATTCAGCAACTTTTGATTTGAAATCGAGATCCTAGAATGTTGTTTTTCTCGAAATATACAGTTGAAGCTGAGCCGAAACTTCAACAGGTTAGTTGTTCAACACCCTTCTTTAGATTTTGAACACTTTTGTTGCTTCAAACCGAACGAACAAAATGCACAAATTACAAATGATGGACTATACCTTTAAAAGTGTAATCCCTGATTACAAATCACACTTCAGGCAAAGCAACTGATCTAGCAATTCAGACTGAGTGACCCTTCAGTAGTGAGTTGCTGCAATCTTTGATGGCATGTGATTCTGTTTCTGTACTAATGCCCACAATTTTGCAATTACTTTGATGATGAGTACTTTAACTAGATCTCATGCTCATGATGTCCTTTTCGCTTATACTCATGCTGCACTAGGTAAAAATCTTCAACCTCGCCTCCCATTCCAGCCAGCCGGCCGACGAAATTATCGATCACGGGAACGGCACCTACACGGCCCGTTTTCTCTTGCACTGGACCGGTGTCGTCAGCATGAAAGTTCTCCTCGTTGCGTCAAGCGAGTACGCTGCGCTGCTCGGCGAGCTGCGGGAGGCCGCCCCAGCTCGCTTCGCCTACAACGGAAAATTCAAGATTGGGAACTGGACAGAAATTATGCCATGCCACATCACCAAGGAGATGTACCTGGGATTCTTGGAGCCGGAAAGGTCGAGGGGATTCTGTGATTTCTCGGACAGGCGACTCGGCTATCCGTGGTTTTGTCTGAAACCGCGGAATCTACCCTGCAGTTCGTTTGTGGAGCACATGGGGTCGTTGACGCGGAGTCGCGAATACAACACGCTTTTGTTTCAGGGAAAGCAAGAGTCCTTATCTCACAGGTTTGTAGCATTTTTCTCGAGATTTTTGATTTGAAAATGTTATTGACTCTAAGAAATTCATAGGGTGCCGTGCAGTTTACTTGTCAAAATAGCACAAAAAGTCATTGATACACAAAGTTCATGTACTGTGCAGAATAAGCTTCTGAAGTCATGTTCAGCCAGGCTTATTTCACTACATGTAACTCAATTCAATACCAAGGTCAAGAAAATCAAAACAATTTCAAAATGCCAAGGCTCAAATTATTAATTGTTACTTTGAAGACCTACTGGCCAATTACACAGAACCGAAGTGGATGACAATGGAATCGTTTTCGTAGAGCAGGTTACACACAGTGGTTATTTGATCCATTCTGTTTTAAATATTGACTGAAATGTTTCCCTCCTAGGTTTGCTAATATCAAACAGATTGGAACAACCACCATTGAAGTGAAGAATTTGGGTATGTATACTGTGAGCTCTGGATACTGAGTAATTACATTGGAAGACTAAACTATGCTCTTCATTAACTCTTATTAAATTTGATAAAACTGTTAATGTGGAAGCAGCATTCGCTTGTACCCACTGCCCTGCAAACAGGGCGCTGGGATACGCTGATGAGCTTCACAGAATCTTGTGAAGGAAGTGGCCTATGACCTATGTATAAAGCATCTGGCTGCAGCTGTTTAAGACCGCAGTTAGCCAATTCGCGCAAATGCTATCCGAAAAATTTCCCACATAAATGCGCACATTCCATACCGGATGTGATTTCTGTTTCATTGCAGACCATGTGGACAAATTTTGAGTGTCGCATTATATGCAATCTGACCCATCGTGAATTCCAAACGGAGCAATGAGCAAGTGACTAGAATTGAAAATTTACAAAACAGATACGTTTTACAGATTTTCCCACATTATTACGCTTTTCAACGAAATAAAGCATTTATGAATGGGAATAAAAGAGTGACAACTCAGTCTTCAACGGCCGTTTCAAACCTTGCCGAGTCGTAGCCATGATGACTTGCAGGTCACAGGTAACCAAAATCTATCTAATCAGAGTGTGAATTCATCAGCGTATCCCAGCGTCCTGTTTGCAAAGCGGGGGTTCGAGCGAACAAGCAGCATACCTAAGGCTGTTTAAAAGTCCAGGAGATGGTGGACGGAGAACTCTGAAAAAAAAAAAATCACATTTGCTTATATTTCCTGAATGTCTTTTTGTTCAGGTTTTACAAAAAACTGAAATTTTAAATTTTCAACTGAAAGTTTAAATACAAAAAACTGTCAATTTTATGTATTTGAAATTTATTATTTTACCAGATGTATATATGGGTGGGTAAGCACAAACGAAAGACAAGAATGAGAAGTATCATTCATAATGTGACATGGAGCTGATGCTTTGCCATTTAATCTTTCTGAAAATAAAATGGATGTCAACAAAAAACATGTAGAGGATGATGTGTAAAATAAAATGAGTTTTCATTTTGAGAGAATCTTCAACTGAGCAACTTAAGATGTTGACAATATTTTCACTGATTACTTTTCCTTCCCAGGAAACAGGAAAGAGATGACGAGCCTTTGCATAGACAAACCACTCCCCGTCTGTGTCCCTGGTGTTCCTCCTAGACCCCCGAAATCTGTTGCCGGTTTCTACCATCAGACATCTTGGCATTCCCTCGTCTGCTCGGCTAGAGATTTTAAGTCCAAGGAAGCCCTGAGATGCCTCCAGGGGCGAAGTCTGTTCTTCTACGGAGACTCCACATTGCGTCAGTGGTTTGAATACCTGACTCGCCGCTTAGGGCGCACAATGAGGGAGAAGCGCCTGACGACTAGTCCAATCGTCGGACCACGCTACGCTTACGACAAGGCTCACAACATCTCAATGTTGTTCCGCATCCACGGGTTTCCGATCCGCAACAGGTGGCTCAAAGTGAAAGACGTCGCGTATGCAGCTAACGAAATCGATAACCTTCCCGGTGGGCCCAACACCGTTATCGTCATGTCGCTTTGGGCCCACTTCACTCCCACCACCCTCCAGTTTTACCGGGACCGGTGGAGGGCCATCAAGGGTGCCTTGCAGAGGCTGCGAGCCCGGGCCCCTGGTACGCTTGTTCTCATCAAGTCAGCCAACACTAGGGAGCCGCGAAGCCCGGACATGAGTAACTGGTATGGCATGGAGCTGGATAAGGTCATGAGAGAGGAGTTATCTGGAGAGCCAGGCGTGACCATCATTGATGTGTGGGACATGACGTTGAGTCACTCCACGGGCTATCGCGCCCATCCCCTGGAAGTCATCATCTCCCAAGAAATCAAGATGCTTCTAAGTTTTGTTTGTCCTGTCCCATGAAATGTTTAGTCTGTTAACCATAACGCAGCTAAATACTTCAAAATCTACCAAGAGGTTTTAAAGGATTTTCTAGGATTTGAGAAGGCAGAGCCCAGACATTACACAGTGTACATGTACATGTATTAATTAATATGGGGATTGATGCCCCTTGAAATTGTTGGTGTTCGATGTAGACTGTTCCATTGTTTTTTTTTGCACAGTGGGAAATTCAGGAAGGCTCCTAAAAAAATGCCTGTGGAGTTTAGTTTAATGGTTCTCGAGTTGTCATGTAAAGATGCTACACATGTGTTAAAAGGTAGAGTAAACCATTTGCAGCTATCCAAAATGTGAGCGACCAAAATACTGTTAAAATGGTTTAAAGATAGTAAGTAATAACACTAAATTTCTTGTGAAAGCACTCGTTGTGGCATGCTGTAATTCTGAAGAAAACAATAAAAGGTCATTTCCAAAGATGTGTCAAGTGACCCTTTTTTTAAAATTTCAGTGAATACCGCCCGAATTTACCTCAGGAGGTATGCTCACGTCAATGGCGTGGCCGATCGGTACATTGGTTCACGCACGTGGTTAAAAAACAAATGCTGATTTAGGGATTGAGAGAAAGTGCAAATCAAAATATGACTTGGCAGGTTTGGATCCAGAATATTGAGTTTACATTCTGTTTCTACAGAGCCAACAATTCAGGTTAGTTGTTAAGTACCCGTCTTTAGATTTTGAGCACTTTTGATGTTTCAAACAAAAAGAGTGCACAAATTACTCATGGTCTGCTCTACCTTTAAATGTGAAAACCAGTTTATTTATTATGCATATTCGTTTTTAAGAAGTCTTTTCAACCATTTTTGTTATGTGCAATCCTGTTCTGTATTCACATGGTACATGAAGTAAGATTTTTACCTTTCAAACAAGTTAAAAGCTCCAATTAATGGGGAGAGAATTTATTTGAAACATGTGTATAGTAATATATATACTGGAGTTCCCTACCTGACAAGCATATGCTTTTAGGGACTCCATCCACATTTATTGTATCTATTTATATTTATTATACAACTTAATATATGTGGAAAATATGAATGAGTGAATGAATGAAAAAGTTTATCCAGCAGGTTATAGGGTCAAATTTGCAATGTATGTAGCTCTTTTAAAAAACAATTAACAGCAACAGTATTTCATCTTATAGATCAAAGATGGCCTTTGTTTTATACATTTGTATATTGGTTACGTCAGTGATGACTTTTAAACCTCTATGATTAATGTGGAATTTATTTGTATGTTTAATTTGTTTTGTACATTGTTAGGGGCGGATCCAGGTTTGGTGGGGGGGGGGGAGGGGGAAAGTTGTCAGGGGTTTTGCGGGAGTCTGGTATTGTTCGGTTTTAGGGTGCGACCTGATCACCCTTTTAAAATGGTAAGAATTAATCTTCTTTATTTTTCTTTCGGTCTTCCTTTTTTTTTCCGGACAAGAATGCTCCACAGGTTTTTCTTCTCAATGGTTTATGATACAAACTTGTAAGGCCAATTAAAAAAAAAACACAGTTGATCGTCCCCACCTGCATCCTTTTTGAAGCAGCATCCTTTTTTTTTCTCACTTCAAAAAGCTAACTTTTCTTGTATTTCACTTTAATGCAATACATAGAACATGTTTGACATGAATATTTAGACTCTACTTACTCTTAGAATCTAATTAAAAGCTGGCGGTCATGTTGAACCGGAGTTGGCGGCCATTATGAATTTAAATACTTGGCAGTCATCTGGGGGGGGGGGGGGGGGGAGAGAAGGCCCTCATCCTCCTCTTTGAAAAACACAGACGATCAACTGGTTTTTTTTTTAAAAACTTGCCCTCACTTCAAACCAACATCATCCCTGATCCAAAGGTGTGCATATTACTCTGACGCCATGATGACCGTCATCAGACCAGAAGTTATTGTAGGGAGCATTTGAAAAATGATCAGTTTTCGTTTTTTCTTTAAACATCAAATCCCTCATTTGATCCGTGTCATTTGATCAAATGCTGTGATGTCAAACCGGACGTTAAGGTTTGTTAATAGATGCACTTAAACCGTCATTATAATTTTCATTTCATCTATACATGTAATTCATTATAATGAAAGACAATTGCACAGTGGGCTTACAGTAACATGTTTCACTGTTTGAAGCCGCTTTTTGAAAGGATGAAATATCACTTCTTTTACATTATTGGCATTTTCTCAGCAACCCAATGTGCTGTTTTCATGGGTTTTTTTTCAGTGTTTGAAAGAAAAAGCTCTCAGCTTCAATCTGATATCCAAATCATAAATTTTCACCTATCACGTTTTTGGAAAAAGGCAACTGTTTCAGGGTTGCATTGTTGTTGGGTCACCCTGTATATCGACATGTGTATTTGTATGCATGAGAACAAGTACATATGTATACAGAGTATCTTACCTTTCAAATACAAATTTAAATGATTTATTATTAAATTGCCTTAGAATGCAGAAGAAATCATCGTAGATTAAAAAAAAAAAGGGGGGGTGGAGGCATGCCACCGGACATCCCCCCCATAGAAGGGCACACCTTCAGTCAAATATCAGGCCCCCCCTTTTCATGAAATATAGATCCGCCCCTGGTCTCACCGAAAATGCTTCTTAGCAGGATTTTAATGTCCAAAACGCTCGGTTTACGAAAAAGGAAAATCTCCTCGGCAGTTGTGGTTCTTGCCTCAACAACACTTCTCCAAGCAGTGGCGACTTCCTATTATGTGCACTGTTTCCCAAAACGTAAAAATTAACAAGCAAACATTGACATTCTAAAGTAGAATATTTTCACCAAGTTTAGTTCACAATTTGTTTTCTCCCTTTTTTGTGTATGTATTTTCTTCCTTGCATTTTATGTGAGGTTTTACTTGTAGTCATACATGTCATAAGAATTGCGCACCGGCTGACGCTGTACGTCATTGTACGTGGTGCGTGTATATAATGTTGTGGGCTGTCAGCGCGTGCACGCTGAAACCGCCCGGTTCAGCACTATACGCACATGACTAAAATTAAATCCATTTTCAGTCACTTAATGAAATTTTATGAAAGCACATTATGGTATTCGATAACAGACATGCTTGCATTAGGCCAAAAAAAAAAAAAGTCTCCGGTTTCTGGTATGCGCGCGCGTCGCCGTAGCCATGCGCGTCGGCAAAATGAAAAAGTTTTTTTTTTAATGAAAGATGATGTCTCAAAACCGCCAAACTCACTGGTTTGACTGGAATCCTGCTGCTGCACAATTTTAACGTGTTTTTAGATTGGGTTATGGTCGAGAATAAGCCTTATGTGGCCTCTCTGGACTCCCATATATTTGCACTAAGTTTAGTCAGGCACCATTTGCAGTCATCAGCCGACATTTGAAGCAAAAAAAATCAGTTAAAAAAAAAAAAAAAGCCGCGTCGCCGCACCACTTTTTGGGCAAGCTCCATACCAGAAACCGGAGACTTTTTTTTTTTTGGCCTTATCTCCCATGAAATAGAAAGGAAATACATGTATACCTGTAAACAACACATCGGAAGTTACTGGTTAGTATCATATGCCAGCAGCCGAAAATCGTTTTAACAACGACCGTTCATTGCATTCTTTTGTGGATCCCATAGTATTCGTTAAAGCGACGTTCCACTGTACAAATGTACTTGTTTTGGCTGCATACAAAGAGTGTTTTTATTACACCTCATAGGCCTACATAAAATTATGTATAACCAAGCGCACATTTTGTATTGGCTTATTCATATTCAAACTCGGGGACATAAAATTTGATGTAGCCATCTCGAACGCGCAACGCACACTAAAGTACAAGAAAAGTAGTATACCTCATTTTTTGCAAATGTAGCGACCGCAGGTACATCGGATGACACGATTGCAAGGGGCCTATGTTTAGACAGACAAACGTTATATAAACGTGTTACTGTTGGATAACTCAGATTTTTGTTAACGTTCTTAGTCTCGTCTTAATGAACCTTAATATGTTTGAGATGTGTGTAAGAAACAAAGAACACGTACAACATGAACGAGAGAGAAGTGTGAATTTTTTGGACCATTGGATGTTGCCGATTTTGACGACCTACAAATCAGCCAACGACGGTCTCTGGCCAGTGGCGTCACCAGACTTTTCAGTCTGGGGGGGCACAGGGGGGGCACCAGCATTTGATGGGGGGGCACTTAGGTGGATACGGATCGCCGTCCTGGGGGAGGGGTCTAAGGGGAGGGGGTGCCCCCCTCCCCTTTGGAAAATTTTCGCATACGGAGGATGGGCTAGATGCAAAATGGTGCCACATTTGATGCTAAATTCGATCTGAAGATATCTCCAGAAATTGCTATTTTCGAGGTAATGATTTTAACAACGCGCAGAATTTTTTTTTACCAACCCAAATCTCAGATGGGGGGGCACTCGTGGGGGCACTAGGTTTTCCAGGGGGGCACGTGCCCCCCCTGGCCCCCCCTTGGCGACGCCACTGTCCCTGGCCAAGTAATGTCACACTATACTTCTCCTCAAACCATAATGTTTAACTTATAAAATATGAGCTGGGATGGACATGCACCCTTGTCTAGTACCATTTGACTTCGCCACCAGGTGTCAAATCGAAAGTGTCGTGTTACCCCTTGTCATTTTTCAAAGGTGCATTCGGGTTCTCATGTAAGATCTGAAGAATGTGCTCATCAGTGAATATGAGACGTGCGTGGCCGAGTTTGATTTCACACTAGAATATCTTCAATTGCTTTTAATGCAAGTACTTACTCACCATGAAATTAATTCTTAAATGCAGTGTCATGGCTGTGGACCCTAGGATTAGAGTTGTCAAATATTTTAATCCCACTGTCAAAGCAAGAAAGCTTATTTGTTTATGTCACTGGATTTTCAGAGACGAGTGATGTTTCTTAAGGGTCATTCCCAGGATAACAAATTATTGAAAAATCCGTTGAAAAATATACGAGTTAGAGTGGCACATGCACTTAAATGACTGACTTTCAAGGGGCATGGTGCGAATGCCTATGAACTCGGAGGAACAAAGCCGAACCATTTGAAATATCTCCTTCTTACGATAAATGCTTTCTTTGATATACATTTATGTGGTGTGAATTTATTTAGAAACTAGAAACTGAAGAGAATAGCAATGAAAAGCAACAGAAAACAAAATTGTAGAGATGACTTCGTGTTCTGTGGTATATTAGGCCTACATGTGAATTGGCTGTAATAATATGGTTGTCTAGACATTTGAATTTGATACAAAGGTCAACACATTTGAGATACAATCTGCAAATGTTAAAAATAAGTTTACAGTTTGAAATATGTTAAATGAGGTAGCCTAGTTTTTTTTTAGTGAGCATTCAAGAAAATTACCTAATTGGTTATAAATATGCATGTACATACTGGTTAAAGCATTGACGTCATAACTTACGTAGCCTATGCATTCAAGGTGAATTGTCTTTCTTGCCTGCAAAGTTTGTCAACAAAAGTGCGTGCAGTGTTGAGTAGGGGTACGGGATTTTCCCTGTTACAAAATTATTAGCATATAATTAGCATATACCAGACAGCTACAAATAATTAGCATATACCTTCATTTGCATGTGACATGTGCAGAGTGTAGTTATCCGCTGGTGACTTAGTGCCCAAATAATCGTAGAATTTGGATATTATATGTTCCAAGTGCGTGTACCTATTTCGCACGTGCGACTGCCATTTGAATATGCATTACAAGCGACTCAAGGTGTGTGCTATGTAGGAAGGACGGCAGTGACTGGATCCACGTCCTGAACGCCGCTCGGGGAGATTTAGAGTTATTCAATCGGAAGTTTTGAGTTATTCAAAAGGGAATAGTTAAAATTGTATAAATAACTTTAGACTTATCTGGAAATAACTTGAGAGTTATTTGATCAGGAAATAAGTTTGGAATTTTTAAGATTGGAAACTCCAAAATCAGGAAAGATACCCTCTTGTTTTTGAATTGCAACTCAATCTTTTGAAACATAATTAAATCTTAGTAATTCATGTTTATCCTAAGTACTGGTTTCTATCTTCAATTTAATTTGTGTTCTGTCCAAGTGCATGATCCAATTTAAGTGCAGAACGGTCCTATCCAACCTCGTTCAAAGGGTATCGAGCAGTACGCTCCCACAACTACCCGCTGTCTCACCCTGGTAAGTTATTTGCATATCCACAATTTTTGGATACGTATGCAAATGAGGAATAGTGCTGCCTGTGCTTTACATCAGCGTTTGGTTTGTATGTGGTGTCTGGGGGTAAAAACAGAATCAATTCGTCGCGGCATGAGTTACGAAAACCGTTTTTATTTCAAAGTAAAATCATTACAATGAACGTGAAAACACGCAATACACGTTAAAATAACAACACCAAGTACACGATATCAATCCATTACCTGCTACTTACGCTATCAAATCAGGATACAGGAAGCAAGTTCCCATCCCAGGGCTTACTATGGGAAACGAGGTTGAAAATATAGTAAGCCCTGAGGACGAGGTTGGGACCTACCACACACACACAGTGGCAACACTGCTCAGAACTGGGATTCCTTTTACAAAGTGGCGTCGTAGACCCGGAATACGAAGTATTTACCTTCTAGGCCTAATAATGGATTTCTGCAATGTCTATTTATATTCCGCAACTCCTTACATATGCATCTTAATTTGCCGATATGTGAATGGAAGTATGGCAAATTATAATATACAAATATTGAGTGGCTCAGCGTGGAATGGGAGGAATATTATCGCAAGGTAAAATCTGGACTTTTCCATTTCAAGAGGCGAAGCCGAGTGAACTGGAAAAGTCCAGATTTTACCGAGCGATAATATTCCTCCCATTTCACAATTTAAAGCCACTCAATATTTGTTTTATATAACTGACATATAGATCCTTGTCATTTGATATATTTGAACTTTTTTTCAACACAAAACTGGAGGAAAATGTATTTCTCTCTTCCAAACCACCCTTTCACGAAAATGTTTGTACCCAACGCTGTAGCGCTGGCTCTTTGGAACAATACGCGCTACGCGCAACGCTGAACGCGCACACCAGCATGCATTTGCACACAAATACCGCGTCATGATCCTAACTGTTGAATAGTATACAAATATTGAATGCTTCGAATGGTGTAGTAAAACTAGCCTCCCAAGGTGATCCATGGACATTCTATTTTCCCGAGGCGAAGCCGAGGGAAAATAGAATGGTCCATGGATCACCGAGGGAGGCTAGATTTACTTCACCACGAGATAAAAAGCATTGAATATTTGTTTTACAACACTTCACCCACAGATTCTGCTTGGTTTTAATATTTTAAATTATTTAAATCTGAACACAGTTGAATAAACTTCAATTTCAATACAAAATTGGTGGAAAATGTATTTCTCTCTTCCAAACTACCCCTTCCCGAAATGTTTGAACCCAACTCTGCGGCGCGCTCTCTTTAGAACAAAACGCGCTACGCGCAACGCGCAACGCGCACACCAGCATGCATTTGCACACAAATACCGCGCCGTGGTATAGTACTTTGGTTGCTAATGGTATAGTACTTTGGTTGCTACGGGCATAGTACTTTTGGCCGTGCACAGAAAGATAGCAAAAATAGAAAGTATCATGTGACACGCTCTCGGCCAATCAAGACACAGAATCTGCGGGTGAGGTGTTATAATATTTCCCATTCCCCATGGGCGGATAGTACTTTTTGAGCCGCGGCATGAATGGGAGCAACAACGAATGCCACGTGATGTGAGTTCCACCAATCAAATGACAAGGATCTGTATGTCGGTTATATAATTTGGGATATTGTGTGCTTATTTATGCGCTCCAGAAAGAGTATTTGGGAAAATGAACAATAACTTTTACTCTACTAAAGATTTAAAGGTTGGAGTTGTACACATTATTCATTTTTGGATATTTGCAAACGTGTGCTGGCTATACGCGATGTCACGCACTGAACTGACGAGTAACTTTGACGAGTAATAGCAACCGCGCGCGCGTGTGCGTCGGGTCAACGCTTCCGCGCACTCATTCACGGCTTCGCCGAATTAAAAACGAACTCAAACGGACATTTCCAAGAACGCATCGTTGGAAAAGGCCTTCTTTCTTGTTATTTTGCAAAATGACTAGCTGCAAATGATGGACTCTACCTTTAATAGTTCAAATTTCAGATGACACCGTCACGATCAACAAGTTATAAATGTAGTCTCCGCTCCATTCGCTCTGCGCTCTCGCCGCTCGCCAAGGGTAATATACTAAAAAAAACCTTGTCGAATGGCTAAGAGACAAGCTTAAGATCGTTGAGACTTGACTTGGGCCTGTGCCATATCTGCCCACGCCGCATACGACCTGCGTCAATCACTGACGGATAATGATATCCTGCGCCGAGAAATCTTATCGCCTGTCCGCGAGGGTCATTGACATCTTCTAAAAACCAACACCTTGTAATAGGGCTGTAATACGAAGTCGAGTTATGAAAGGGACAAAGAACGATATTTTGGCATTCTAAAATGGTGTATCACTTTAATGCCTCGAAGCCACAACTATATGCTTTCCCGTCCCCGAGAGGGGTAAAAAAAGAAAGTAGTCCATGAAAAACACAACAAAGAATCGTTTCTTAAATTAGGGTAAATTTTTAAGAGTACATGCATACTTTGTACAAGTTTAAACGCGAAACCCTTCTTTACTTAAAAAAGTGATTCTTGTTAGTTTTGGGTGGGGGAGGGATTGGAAATTTGCTTGAAGGATGTCTGCATTTAAATAAATTCTACAAACCCAGGCCCCAGCCCTATATCCGTCGGCAACTTCAGGAAATTTCTAAGGCACATTGAAAAAAATCTAAAGGCTTAAAGGTAGCTTGAATAATAAAAACCCCTTTCAATATTTACTTTAACTGATAACCCGAAACGATAGCCTGATGTATTCAATGTGAACACTATAAAACCGAGCAGACGACTTTTGGCCCAAATCTTCAACCAACAACTTTTTGGAGGGCGCGACGAATTTGCACCTGGCGAAAATTCTTCCGTTCCTATTGTTATGCAAATTAGAAACCGCACGCGCACGCACGGCTTGTGCATGCTTGTGCCACATTAAACTTTTGACGGGAATGCCGTGCACGAGATGCGAAACGGTTGAGGACGTTCAAGTTCAGTGGCTGAGAAGGGCGATAAAATGACCGTTGTTTTCACCTCGAATCTTCGTTTCTATCTATTCTGAAACAGAAACACTTTCTAGGACAAACTTGGACACAAACCTGCGACATAGTTGCCATGCCGGAGCTACATTTAGGGAGAAACTTTTGCAGCCTTGCAGAACTTTATCATGCCGCTGGTGCGCCTACTTCAAACAACGTCGCCATCTTGGATTTTTACCAAACGTGTATGCAGTAGACTGAAATTTGTTTCTGCAACCATGAGAGGGGGAACTTTCAGCACTTAGTTATCCTGGGCTTTCCAAGAAGGTCACTGGATTTAAATAAAAGGACAACGACGGGCGAGCCAGTGATGGAATGTGCTTTGGTGAGTTGTTAAACATGTTTTAATTATTTTTTTCCATTTAGAAAACTTTCCGATATAATTGGCATAGTTACTCACCTTAAGAAAGTAACAGCAGATTTAATTTTTTTTCTGCTTCATGGCCCTGAAAGAGTTTGTTTAAGGGAAGTCCGAGAACCATTTGGTTGACAGCTGACGCATGCCCAACTGTCGACTTCCGTAAAAATAGCAACAGCGAAAATATATAGAGGGTACTAGTAGTAGTATTATTACTCGGTTATTTAGTAGACCTAAGCCGTTTCCCGTAGACATAACCGTTGTCATATCCTGCGACTCCCACGTAGATTATTTGACTCCAAAATAAAATCTGTCAAAATTAACCTGAATTCACGGTAGTCTTTTCTTTGGTACGTATAAACTTAGCGTGGAGGGGGAACTTAACCTACCCCCCCCCCATAGGCCTTTTTGCTAGGATGCAACCTTAATCCTGCTAAATCATCCAACTGCCTCCATATAAAAATTGCATAGGCCTACAGCCTCAATCCTGCCAAATCCGCCGTTATTTCTTGAATGACATCCTGAAGCAGTACGGAGGATTTCAAATATAATGCATGCCTAAATTTATGTACAGCTGAGCATAAAAAACACAAGGTCTGGCCCAAGAAGACCTTGACACAGTGCATCTTCCAAAATAAGCCGCTAATTTTTGCCATATAGCCTGAATCCTGCAAAAACCTCCATTTTGCCAAGGGGATTTTAGAGGATTTGGGAAGGTTAGGGTTAAATTAATCACACCAGCACAGCGTTCCTTTGGACTTAATTCCGCACGAGCTCGCAATGGGCACGGGCTTTATTCAGACTGTAGTAATTTCCAGTGATAACAACTTTTGATCTGCAAAATATACTAACATCCATCAAACTAAACTGTCTAAAATAATAAATACATGCATTTAAAAAAAAACCCAGCAGACTGCGTAATTCTCTAATAGGCACATTCATGTTCAATGGCACACACTCCAATCATAGTAAATTCAGAGTGCGTTTACCAACTTTACCTTAAACCCAAACATTCCATTTCTCTTGCCGACACCTGCTGAATAAATGTTAGATTGTAAGTAGCTACATTGAAAACGAAAATAAAAAACACCTTACAATAGCCGTACACATTTTTTATAGGTCACAACGATTTCTTGTCACATTCAAGCTTTGAAGATAGTATCAATGGTACTTAGAGGCTTGTAGATTCTTATCCAGTAATCCAGAAATCTTGCCTTTTTCCTTGTTTCCATGCTTGTGTTTGTTTCTCACTTGTTTGTAATATTCATTCTCACATTTTTTTCATTGGATGATTTAATAGAATCGAAACAGACCCTCTACAAAAGTAAATTCCGAAAGGGCTAATTTACTACTGAATACAAATTCTGATCTGACTAATTTACTGCTGAAGACTGTCTTTTTTTTCTCTCGTATTTGGATTTTAAAAACTCTATCAAATTCTCTATAAATTATATACATGGGAAATAAAATGTGTACAATCTAAGACCTCAGTCCACTTTTATATTTAAAAGTGCAAGTTTTTTTACGAATTATATCCGTCTTTAATTAACTTTGCCCTCCAATAAAAAAGTGTAAAATACGATTTTTACATTTATGGAATGCTAAAATAAAGAAACGAATACATGTAGGGCCTACGAACAAAATCCACGGGTACATCTATTTCATACCCAGTTTTGGAGTTTTAGAGAAAAAAGCCTGAAAACTCAAACAAGTATTGAATTAACTTATAAATTTATGGAGTAATTGAAATGCGAATTCTGGTTTAAGTTATGCCGACATATCACACTGTTTTAGATTTAGTGGTAACAATACTATAACATATTGCCTTTTTACCCCGACTTGCAAGACATGTTTAGGAATGAGCAAGCTTATACTTATAGCGACAGATAACACATTCCAAAAAATCCACAAAATATTTGTGATAAGTCTACAAATTTAATGGTATTAAGTAGCATATAGCTCAGCTATTTAAATGTTGTGCACCTTTCTTGGATACTATAGTGATACACAAAGCTAACACAAATTCTGTCTGTAATCCCTGCACAGGGTTTTATAATATGCGCTTAATCAGAGCAAATAATTACAGAAAATCACCAGTTGTGCGCGACTTTACTTTTTGTGATAGAGTTCGCAGTTAGGTATATCACGTGCTTCATTTGGTATGATGACTCTGAGTTATCAGGATCATGTGTCATTTCATTGTAGAGGTAAGATTTATTGTACAAATGCGATGTATTAATCGCGTTAAATTTAAGACCCCAATGGTATGTCAAAGCACAATCAGCAGCAGTTGTCAAACTATCTCCAACATGAACACCATGTTAACAAATTCCAGTTAGCATTACGCTAATAACACAGTTAATATTACCACAACTACAGCACAGCCAAAGGGGCGGGCGCACGGGGGATAAGAAAGGGGGGGGGGAGGGTACGAGGGTACACTTACATTTAATATCGCCGGGAATGGAGGCTCAAAGGCTTTATTTATCGAACATATTATCATGAAAGCTACTCCTCTTGTCAGAAAAGGGCCAGGCGCCCTACTCCACTCCCGCTTTTCGCATTTGCCACTACTAGTCGGAAAAGTACCGGTGAGCCCAAACCAAAGTCAAATCCTTCATATATACTAGATGGTTGCGCCACTGACCACCACCACGCCCATCACTGTCAGTGCTTCCTCCATTTCAACAACCACCGCCATCACCTCCACCACCCGACCAAAACCACCACTACCCCCACCATCACCGCCCCACTACCATCACCCGGACAATCACCACCATCTACACCATCATTACAAATTATCACCGCCTGAAACATCGCCCCTCTTTCTTGCAGCAAAAACCACAACCGTTTCTGCAACTGACACTACACCACCCACTCCCCCGTGTCCACAACACCACAGTGGCCACTCCAGTGTACAAGTGTGACCTGATATTAAAAACCACCACTACACCAAGAACGACAACTGTCAAACTGCAACCTGCAAGAAACCTGCTACCATGGCAACAAATTCCTTCATCTCCGTCACCAACGCATGCACTGTTATACCACCACAACTGAGGCAAAAACCCCACCATAAGCGATGATGAATAGTCTATGTCATCTTTCACTCTGTGCCTTTTGAGACACAGCGCCTGAGCTGGTTCTGTCAAAGAAGTTGCACAGCCACATATCCTCGCTTCCACAAACCAAATACCTTGAGTCTTGTCCTCCTCAACCATCTTTAAACCTCACACAATACACTCTCCAGTCCATACAACATCATTCATTCCTGACCAAAAACACGATTAAAGCTGTTAGTTACTTAAATTGTGGATTATTGAGATTCCCATAGTGACATCTGAATAACTGCGTTTACAGTATAATCGCAAAATGTATTCGGATGAATCGTCCAGCTACATTCCGTCTACAGCAAAAAGAAACAAAATTGTCATACTTAATCGAATAAAAGTCAAATACATTAACCTTTAGAAATCTTTGGATGTAATACTTCCTGATAGATTTAGAAAATGAGACTTTAGTTCGTTGTTCCAGAAATATTCACTAATTCTTTACTCATGAAATCCACTTATAGTTACTAGGTGAACCCCCTCCTCTTAAAAAAAGACTCACGGATTTTCATTGGTATTACAACAAAAGTATTTCTTGCCCTCATCCAAATTAGGCTTACTGCTTTGTCCCATTAAGTCAGTGACAGCGCGAATGCCGCACCCACAGTTTTATCTAGTTAGGTGTGCGACCGAAAGAAGTCATTGACAGAAGGTCACATAAACTCGAAAGCTGTCGGATTTACAATAAAGAAACCAAAGCTGACAATTATCTGAGGCTTTCAATGACCGCACACGAACAACAGGTCGGGATGGCAATGTGCCGCCACGAGTAGTCGGTTTCTCCTATCACCCTGGCCCAGGCCATCACCCACGAGTTGGTCTCCCTGCACTCGGTGGTTGTCCCCTCGTCCGACGAAGAAAACCCGTAGCAAGCCTGGTTCTCGTGTAGGCAGGTGGTGTGCCAAAACCACTGGATTTGACTGACTTCCACCTGGCAGTTAAGAAAACGTTGAACACTGAGAAAATGATATTTCCAGCAGGGTTGTTTGATTGAAGTCATTTCATTTAAACCATTTGACTTAAATCATCTGGTTGGCTACACTGTTATCAACTTTCCAGTGAGTGTTGTATGCAACATGTTGATTTATGCATGGATGCAAGGCACGTTACATGTTCCTAACTAGAGAGGGTTTAATGAAGTAGTATCCAGATAGTACACCAACAATTACAATGTATCAGCAAACATCGTTGTTAGAACAGAAGTAACACTTTAACAGATGACATGACAAACGTCCCTTTCATAGTGGGGCCTTCACTCATGTTCAGTGTTCCATAATTAAAAGTGCAGCCCGTGAGACGGTTCATATCTCTCTTCTTTTAAACAAATTTTTTAATTAAAGTTTTTAATTTTTTTTTTTAATGATTTTGTGACAACCCTGATTTGCAGACCTTGACAAGGCTGGACAAAATGTACTTGTTTAATCCCATCAGAAATCAAGATTTTTTTACCTAATTTGCTAACATTGGTCCAAAACAGTAAAATTTTATTGCTAAATATTGCCCTGGGCTGATCGTTTCACACAAATACCCATGCAGATTAACGTTTGGCTTTTATATGTATCCAAAACTATCCTTAAAACCACCGATCCACCATTATCCAACCTCATCATCATCGCATCTCTTGACCTTATTAAGGTCATTAGGCAACTCGGAACTGTTTACAATTGCTTTCCATTAAGTGTCTGTTACCCGAACGTATGATTATTTTGGTTTGATGCCTGTTTATTCTCGGATTGCAATAAACCGTAAACGTCTTGGTCTGCACTGTTTCTGTTGATACTCTCTGGAGAATAATTTGTGAGAGACATTTCAAGCGTGTGAGATGACCAATAAACCACCTGAGCTTCACTTGGTGGTCAGTTTAGATGACTTGTGAACCAATTAGCTGAGTCACAATCTACCTGACAGGAACGTCTGTTGTTTGGATGATTCAAAGTATTAAACAGCAGATTCTTTTTGCAACTGTTCATTTCTAATTAAAAGCGCGTTTGATTAATTTCAATCTCTGCATCGCTATTACCTCCAAAATGTTTGAGGTAGAGTCAGAAACCTACATGCTTTTCAGTACTCACTTCTTCGTTGTAAATATCTGTGGCTGTCTGTACGTGAATCCATTCATTCTTTACTGGGCACGCTCTTAAGGGTGGGCTGTGATCTCTCTGAAAAAGAGGCGGATGATTTCAATCAGTACCAACATGGCTTGTAATGTCATTCATTGTCAACTTGAGTGGGTACACTACAAGCATATTTGGACACAAATGTTTCTTCTTTTTGCTTTCGACCCTGCCTTTCAGTGGCGTAGCCAGGAATTTTTCAGTGGGGGGCGCTGGGGGGCTGGAACATTTCATGGGGGGGGGGGGGGGGCGTCATGTAGATCAATGATAATTTTTTTAGAAACTCAAAATCTCAGTGGGGGGGGGGGACTGGGGGGCGACAAGGTTTCATGGGGGGGGGGGCTGTCCCCCACGCCCCCCGTGGCTAAGCCAATGCTGCCTTTACAATGACAACTTGTCATTGGTTTCTGAAAAACGGTCTTGCTCACCTTGAAAATAGAAAGCGGCGGTTCCGACATGAACTCTGCAGGGTTTCCTTTCCACGCCGAACCGCTGGGTGGTAGGTCGGACATGTGGCTCGGTCTGTCTTGCGCGAAGGATATCCGTAGCACCGCAGCCTCCTCCAAAGACGGGATGGTGAGGAGATCGTAGATGGTCGGTCGCTCCGGAATGTTCCTTAATTCTGGTGGGATATCTAGAATATCAAAAAATGGCTATAAACGGGGGAAAAAACGAAACGAATGGGTTATTTTCCATCCTTCCTCGAATGGGCCAGCTATTATTGAGGCAGAATATTACTTATGTCATAATTGTTCAATCGAACATAAACTTTGCTCAATTTATGTCATAATTGAACATAAACTAACATGAGATCTTGGGGGGGGGCCGACCCCCAAGATCTCGGCCATCGAGTGACGAAACATTTTGAAACTCGGTACATGCATAGAGCAACTCATCATAAACATACCCAAGAAATTTCATGACTATAGATGAAAGGGTTTTGGAATTATGGTTAATTAATTATTCATATGTACGAATGGTAATTCTGCTCTGTGTACACGACGTACATGAGAATATTCAGTTTGCGCCGGATTTTTTAAGTTTAAGATACACTTTTGTGTGACTCATCGGGTCCATAACACATTTTACAGAATAGTTCTTTGTATTAACAGCCGGTGTTGAACTGAATTCTATAAAGCCACTTTTTATCAGAGAAACTAGAGGGGGTTTAACTGTGAGATTTTACAGCATGCAATTTACTGGAGTCATGATCAGTTTGGGAGTGCATGGCGCGTCAGAGAATTACTTTTAAGCCATTAACCTGACAGGAGCTCCGGGCAATTATTGTTTAAGCCACAAAGTTGTAACGTCTCGGTTACTGAAGAACAACCTATAAAATCCACCCGAGAAGTCGTAAACCCGTACCTCTTGTTGCTGATGTCTTTCCCTTGTATCCACGCCCGTCTTTCCTAAAATAACTGAAAAGGTAACGACCTAGTGAGGAAAATGTCACAATAATTCCAGGTTCGAGCTAATGACATCTTATTCGTCTTAAGTAGCATGTCATTAATATATTCAATAGAAATAAAGTGTAAAACCTTGCAAAGGACCAAATAGCTTATAACACCTGAAAGTGTGAGGAAAGTGTGAGAGGCCCGAGGGCCAATATCTTTTGAAATGTCAAAGGAAACCGTGGTCACTCTAAACGCAGAGTCATCTTAGGAGAGGAGAAGAGATGTGTTTTAGAGCTGTGACACTACCTGACGCTGATTATAAAATCTATTTTACTTGACGTTCCATGTTTCAAGGGGGAAAATGGAGACCGCCCCCCCCCCTCAAAAAAAATAAGTGTGGTTCAAAATGACAATGAATAAATCAACATCAATAAAAACATAAATTTGATGTTTCTTTAACGCGTCCATATTTGTTGGAACTAACATGAAGCAAACGTAAAATTGTTTCGTTTTCCCCAATAATTAATATGACAGTGATAATTATATGATAAAACATCGATTCTGCCGCATGAAGCACTTTTTGCCTGGCTAGGTCTAGCTCATTTTCCATAATTTTAATATAATAATTTTTATTAATGCCAATCTTTTACACTTCTGGTTTCTCTTTATAATAGTTATAATGTGATATTGTGTTTATCTGATGTTAGTTCAATTTAAAGAAAGTAGATTTTAAAAAACCGCGTATATTTCACTTTGTACAGCGAGCTTAAAGAAGTTCTTTCTTTGGCTCGACAATGTCCATTATTCTGTTTACTGATGGCTCGGAATGAATGGCATGTCCAATCATTAGCTTATTTATTCAACCTCCTCAGGGGGCCTTGCTTTCTTCTTGTAATAACAATATTAAACAACGGAAGGAATTCAAACCCTTAGTTAATAATTTGGGGGATAAGAAGTAAATGTTACTTTGTGATGTGTAGTGTTTTGTTATCGAAGACATCAAGCTTGGTAATAAGAGTTACTCGATATCAACAACATAGGGTTTTGCTGGTGTTAATGGATAAAACATGAATCACTAATAAACATTTTTACAGCTCGATTTTCAGGACAATTATTGTGACCCCCGAAATTCGTTATCGCATGGTTCTCGTAAGAATAACACAAAAACCCCAGGTTTTAAGGGATGGTTGTGTGGACGTTTATGTTCTATTTTAAAGGCTCTTTCCATTTTATAATCATTTCGTAGTTTTTTAGCCCAATTGGGCGTATTACAGGCCGTAATATCCCGTGGCTGATGATCATAGCTATATATGTGCAGTTAACGCGTCTTGTTCTTGCTTGCTGGATCAGAACTGATTGGTTTAGTTGTTGGGAGGTTGGCTACTTGGAGCGTTTATTACAATCTGTGGATTGAAACAGTTGCTTGTGAATAATGCTTGATTCTCTCATTGTTTGCTCGCTAATTTTGTTGATACTAGTTCATGTATTTTCTATTGAAGTAAACTAAAAAGTCACAGTCGCAATTGTTTAATGTAATATGTACACCGCATCAATTGCATTACTGTTTCTACGACTGCCCCCCCCCCCAAAAAAAAACCCACAATTGAGATCCACTCGGCGATTTTATAATGCGAAGTCGTGGCAAGTATTATAAACAAAACCATTACAAATGTAACTTGAAAATGTTTACCGTAAGGAGTGTTGTGATCAGTACTTTAAGTGAACCGCTAGATAAATACAATTCTTGCAGTTAAATAACATCAATGCCCTATTGCACGGATGGCAAATTAATTTTAACTGCCTAAAAATGACAAAGAACAAGAACCCCAAAAACTTCTTTAAAATCGTGCCCACATTGTATTTTAATATTTCTTCATTAGAAAAACAATAATCGGCGCAGGAATGGTCGGAAATTTGAAAAGTTGTCGGATATGAATATTGACGCCAACTGGTCTCGGAACAGTCGACGGGTGTGCAGAAGCACATTATAATTCAATGTATCATAAAAGCCGACTCCTAAACATCGGCCCCACTTCCAGCTTTGGCGTCCTTTATGGTCCCGGGACCATTTAAAGTTCACAAAGAAAGACTTGAAAGCGTGGCTTACTGCTCTTTGATTCGATGTTTTGGTGGGGGTGAGAAATCTTTATCGAACCAAAATGACCAACATTAGTATGAGCTAAAAGGATTGAGCTAGAAGTGGAAGCCGCGGCCGGAGCGCAGCCGAGAAATTACGTCAATTTTAATAAATGGTACGAAGGCGTCATGATTCATAATGCCCAGATTTTAATATTAAAGTTGCAGCACGAATATTCACATCAGAGGTGCCCATATTCTCTTCACAAAAATCAACAGAGTGTAAAAGTCACTTTGTACCCTTTGGTCTTGTCAATTGGAAGCAAGATAGAATCAATTTTTTAAGGATGTTTGACACATTACCGTCTATAAAAGCGTGAACTATAATTCAGTGATTACAGAGTGATTGCTGTGATAAATGTTTTCAACCGTGCACTTTGAAATAGGATTTCATTGAACGTGATACGTAAGAGATACCAACATTTTCAAAACAAAACTCACAACAATGAAATAAACGAAGAAAAACCCTCACCTATTAGCAAAAGAAAATGACAGCCGTGATAATTCAGTGATTACAGAGTGATTGCTGTGATAAATGTTTTCAACCGTACACTTTTAAATAATTAATGTCAGTTGTTTTCAGAGGATTTCATTGAACGTGATACGTAGGAGATACCAACATTTTCAAAACAAAACTCACAACAATCAAATAAACAGAAAACCCCTTACCTGTTACTAAAAGAAATATGACAGCCGTGGCTCCTTTAGCACGAACATGCATCTTGAACTCCTCTAATGAGAATGACGGTATTCTATGAATCACGGTCCTTATACGCATACCGTGAACAGCCATAAGAAACTGTCCACCACGCACCGGCTATGGCTAACCACTCGCTCCTGGTCGATAATAAAGAGCGCTTAATTCGGTTTCAGTTAGACTGGCACGTGCTGGCAAGCTGGTACGGCGCGTCCATCTATTAATTGGCTGCCCAAGAAGATGCCGCCTATGGTACCGTAGATGCTCGTCATCATTCGGCACAATAGGTAGTAATGAAGAGGCCTTGTGGTTATATACCTCCTCAGCAGAAGCAGACAGAAGGTCATCTTCAAGACGGTCTAACTCGACGTGGGCGGAGAAAGACCTAGCACTCGTCAGAAGAGGGGCAATGCCCTGCTGACGAAATACATGCATCTTATTATTTTATTCGACTTCCAGCTGAACGACCGAAAGAGGCCTTAATTGGATTCTGCGAGCGAGAGCCACACATTGTGATGTTTTACACTTGTCAGTGAGACGGAGCAATTGGATGGAAGTCAGCAAAATAGATGTGGACATCGGTGTTTACTGTATGATCCTATCTATAAATAAATAGATTCGCATTTGTCAATCTGATTGTATAAGTGGATGGTTCTGAAACAGTTTACCATATCAATACGCATGCCTGCTGCTTTTACATAAGTATTGTTTTGTAACCTCTCTCTTATAGATAGAAAGTGTACGGAGCCGTTATCAGTAATTCACACAGGTTAACCACGAAGTTTTCAAGAAAGCATGCCAGGGTACAATAAAGTGAAATAAAATATAAGTCGATAGTTTGAGGGTAATGGACTCTAAGCATGCATTGAGGCTGATTGGTATCAACTTTCTGTTTTGATAGCGCATCCAGCTCACCTCGGGGCAATCTGAATATTATGATCCTCTTAATTACTGTATCCTCGGGGAGTAATCCGTCTAGTTGTATCCAGATAACATCGTTCTCGAAATATCAAGTCGTGCGCTTGTAGATTTGGGGGAACCGTTGACAGGCGTCACATTTCACTGATATTTACGCGAGAGGCTCTACCGAAATGCCTTCATTGCTGTCACCTGTCAATAATGCAAATTAAGGATTTGAGTTGGTGTTTTACCTCAAAAGTACATTGACTGAAAAGAAGCGTTTACAAAAACTTTGAAACTACTTACAGAACGTGCAGAACACTTCCCATCGACCCCACGCAGTTACAAACTTTACAGAAGTTTAATGTCGAAACAACCATGCCCGGTGCATTTCAAGGTTTTAGCTAAATAATTTGAAGATTTTTTTGGTTTAATTTTGTTTCCTTTTTTGGGTTACGTATTTTCATGAACTAGACGGTTTTTTCATACTCACTGTAATAAAAAGAAATAAATAAAAAAACCTTCTCCCGAAAAGACACCCAAACAAACAATATTTTGGTGTTGAAACTTTGCAGTATTAAGCCAACAAAATTATTAACCAAAGCGTTCAATGCCTAATCAATACTAATAATAATTGTAATGGTAATTATGTATTTATATACATGTACTTGTTTGTTTGTTTAAGTTGAAGTTTTAACCTTGTCCATTCAATGTACCCTTATTATAAACGTTGTGTGTGTGACACATAATGCACATATGTTGTTCTCGCACGTCCGCAGAATGCGATCTGTGCGGCAGGATTCACAACTAACAGCTCGATTTTTGAAAGTCCAAAAAGTTTGACACCCGAAATTCGTTTTCGCATGGTTCTCGCAAGAATAACCCCGAAACGCCCATTTTTCTTTTATCGATGTTTGTGTGGACGTTTATATCCTATCCTTTTCAGTGTCCAATTAACATCATTTCTTTTACAACGAGTGTAACCCAATTGTGCGCATTCAAGGACGTGATGTTTTTCTTTTAAGAACAAGTGACAGATCAATGTGGGAAATCAAATCACACAATAATGACAGCTTGTGTTTGAAGCAATATTTTTAAAAAATGCGACTTAAATCTCGATTAGCACATAAACGATTTAATTTTTAAGACCAAAGGTTTGCTACTTATTTACCCCGAAATTCCTTCGTGCGATATTTGCACGATAACCGCATATATTTCAGTGTATAGTTGTGGGGTGCCAAACTATAACAAGAGGAAACTATAATCAAAGGAATGCCAGGCTAATTCATTCCCGTTTTGGCGATCTTTCCATAGTATCATTTCATGATAAACGTATTTTAGAGCCCCGAATGGCATGGTCCATTATAACTTTACAGGTACTGACGCAAGGTAATCCTGAAATGGGGACCAATGGTCACATTGGAAGGAAAGCAACACTCCTCTTGTTGATTGATAAAATCTAATGATTTCTTGTACGTGAAATGAAGTAAACCAATTAATTAACAAGGTAAAAGGGGGTATGCTCACACCTGCTGATGCTGCTTTCTCACGCAAGTGTGCTTTGAGCCGCTGTAAAAAAACCGAGATTTTGATAATAAGCGGCAACATCGTTCCTTTAAAGCCAACTTACGTACTCTAGCCAGGTTTTGGGATGGCGAATAGCAAACTACAATTAACAATATCTTTATTGGTCAATGCATTCTGTTATTTTTTTTTTATTTACCTTTTAAGTTTCACCTTCAAAAACTCAAACAGGTCAAATATTACATAACATTTGCGTCAGTGGTATTCAGACGTAAGTGATCTTCGTATTTTTTTTGTCATCGGAGCGTAAAAATATTGTCATTGTCTCCGCAGTCCAGATGACGTGTTCTTTTCTCTGTAATGACCAGTAAGACTAAAAATAATAAGCCCACGCCTCATTTACCACTTTCCAGCGTCACATCCCCATCCTTGACCTATTGTTCAGTTACCGAGTATTTGATCTTGTCTGAATCCGCTTTTGATTTTCTCTGACGCATCTTGTTTGCGCGTTTTCAAAGTGATATTAATCTTGAATGAAATCCCCGCTTTATCAGGAAATCTTCAGTGACCGATTGAAGGCTAGGTTTCTGTTATACCGGTGAGGCTATAGTTTTGTTTTATCATCGCGGATGGTCGGTTTGCGGACGGTTTGTTGTATAACGTGATGATGTATTATGTTAATTTTATTTTTATACCTTTTTTCACCCCAGCCCTGAAAACGTGTAGAAAATAATTCCGAGAAATGTTGACAAAAAATTCCACTGAGATCTTTAGCAGAGTGTAACTTAATGATCTGTTTTGCTACATGTAACCCTATCAGTGTGTGATATAACAGCACTTTAATTTCCAAATTTGTGGCCGAATTTCCTAACATTATTTGGCCAGTAGTCTACAGTATGACGTCATTTGTTTGCGCTACGTTGCAAAAAGCGGGCGCTGTATATTTCTCGATTTTTTTTTGGGGGGGGGTCGTATTTCTACATTTTTCATTCAGACACTTTCGAGTTTACATACATTCTTATTGTCAAAATCCATCCATTCAAACAACCCTTGAAACAGTAAGTCACCGCTAGAGGGCGCTATACCCTTTTTCTTGGGGGATCATCCATTGTTATTATTTTGTCCAAGTAATAAAAAGGCAAGTACGTTTATAAATGCTTCGCATTTTGTAATGACCTGCCAAATGTTATCCTGAAACAAAGAAAATTGGCTTTTCGCACACTGACGGCCATACTGGGTTCCCTGCATGTTCTAGTTGGTCGCATGACCAAATATTTCAGTCGAAAGCTGATACTTGAATGCATATTTCCATGTTTGTATACAAATTGATCAAATTTTATGATAGTATTTTTCAATCGGTTGCCATGATTAAAGTTAAGAAAAATCACCATATTTCATGCCAACAGGCCAAAGCGTTCCGAGGCCATTACAAGAAGTTCCATAGGGGGTAGCGCCCCCCTCCGGGTCCTGAAAGAGTTAAACATAAGCGCACGTTTCAAACGCAATAATTCAAACAATTTACGAGCAAACGACGAGTACGAGTATGGGTCATTTCATTTCTCAGACCTTAGGTCTTCGATTTCCTGTTTGGATAAAAAATCAAGCGCTTTTTTCCGCACACTAAAGGAAAAGAACTCCCCTCTTTTGTATCTCAGGTGATTCCGAAAAAAAAAATTCTGCATGTTTTTCCTTCATTTTATAGATTTCTTTCCTTGTGGTATTTTTGCTCAAATTAATATATGTCGCGCTAACCATGCCTTCAGTTGGCCTCTGTCCTACATTTTGCAAGACTGGTATTCAATACACAAAAGAGGGCGTCCTTTTGGCACCTCGGCTCTGATATTCAGTGTGTACGATTTAGCCTCGGGTGAAGACAGACGGGTTTATAGCAAAAACAGCCAGGCTAATGGGACGCTCGAACGCCCTCATGATTCTCACACGAGTAAAAATTAATGTCAAAGCTCAGTCAGTCGTAGGATAAGTACTTCAGCTTTTGGCATTAACTCTCTACGGTAAAATTGTCTGCCTTTCAATTTCTGTCATTTGCGAAAAAAGTCGGTCAAAAACATTAGCCACTATAGTCGCAATCGGACCTGAAATAAAGTCTTTTTGTTGATTTGTGCACACCTACGCCTGCAGCTGTTGCTCGAAATGACCGCAACAGTGTAACGGCAAGTCAGGGTGTTAAACAGGCGCTGTTATTCATGTGTTGTGAAGTTTACGTCTTCGCAAAACAAATTTCCTAAAATATTTGAGCCAGTTGTGCAGGTCTCAGGTCTGTGGGTAATTCCTCTGTTTCGCCACTCAGAATTTCGGGATGTATATGAGCTTTTCATTGTTACAAACTCTCCAGAAAATAAGCCCCTTGTGCATACTACAAATAGGACTCCCATTACGCCACTTGCTACTTAGTATAGGTTTTTACGAATTTGCCATAATATCCTACTTTTAAATACTTCGAATTCTTTAGTCAATAAGCGACCCCCAAAATGAGTAATTTTAAAGGTTGCTTGATTTCAATATTTTGGTGGGCACCAATTTGGTGCTCCGGCAAGGAGGCCAATGCTTCCTTCCCGGTAGCTACCACCTCCAATTTCCTTTTGCTACGTGGTTGCAACATTTCATGATAAAAGGTATCTTTCACACCCGACGTCGTCGTATTTGTTCTCGTACCCATTCGGAAGACACCGTGGCTTTCCCAAAATGAAATGTTGCCAACATCCATATTCAAGGCTCTGGTAAGCTCTTGTTTGAACTCTCTTTGTGTTTTGTTTCCATTAGTAAGCCATGGATAGGAAACTTTCTTCCTGTATCCTGATTCGATACCGCAATTTGCTAGC